TGTGTGTTCTATGTCATCAGTGTACAAAATCTTGGCTTTAATCCATAACTTACAACAAGCATTTAAGGTAAGCAATGTCAAGAGAGTGTCATAAGAAACTACATTGTTGTGCATCAATTTTAGTCTAGCTTGTTTTGTCAGTAGCAACAATATCAATGGCATTCTTAACTAAATGATAATAATAACCTTATTAAATAAACCAAAACTCCACTGATGCCGGCAATGATATATAATTACTACAACTATGCAATTTCATAGTGGTAGTAGTTGGAGAACTCAAAAGAGGAGAAAAGAGTTTTAAAGAACCTGGATTTTGAAGCATCTCCTTTATCAAACATGTTGAAGCTAAAGGAGAGAAAGCACAGTGCTTGAAGCTATTGATGGTTTTAGGTTAGAAAAGGAAAGAGATTTAGGGAATGGATCATTGCTTGGGGTTGGAGGAATGTCTCTAGCAAGTTGTCTAGTGTGGATTTTGGCAAAAAGAACGCTAGTATGGTTGCCATGTGCTGGCATGTATGGTGAGACCAAAAGCCTTGTGAAGACACATGGAGGCTAATGGTAAGGATCCCAACCATTCTTCAAAGGAGCAAAAGGAGAAAGAGAAGAGAAATCAAGCCTAACTAGGCTCTTAAGGACGAAGAGATTGAGATTTTGTGAGTGAGAAGTTTGATTATTCCGTCAAGCTTACTGGGTTATATATAATACAGAGGATTCCTTGTGGGGTATCCCTTAATTATACCCTATATTACAAGACATGATGACAACATGGTAATGTATGTAATTACATGCTGTATTAGAGCTATGAATGAGGAGAGCCAAGTTCGTGCTAAACTTGATAAGGATGTGCTCGAGCTTGAGGAGGCTATTCAAGGATTCTAGCTATCTTCAAAGAAACAAAGGGGGAAAAGGAAGAGAATTCAAGCCTATCCAGACCCTTAAAAAGAAAGAGATTGAGATTTTGTGAATACAAAGTTTGATTATTCCTTCAAACTTATTGCAGTGTATAGAATAAAAAGGATTTTATATATGGGGTGATTAACACATTAATTACAGCCTATATTACAACACACAATGTCAGCATAGTAACATATCTATTTATAGCCTATATTTAAGCTGTAAATGAGCCGAGTCAAGCTGAGCTGAGTTTTAATACGCTCGAGCTCAACTTTATGATGACATACTCGGGCTTGAGGAGGCTAATGGCAAGGATGCTAGTTGTTTCTTCAAAGGAAAAAAGGGATCAAGGGAGCCATACCTAGGCTCTTAAGAAGGAAGGGATTGAGATTTTGTGAATAAGAAGTTTGATTATTCCCTCAAGCTTATTAAGGTGTATACAATAAAGAGGATTCTATACATATGGTGAGTAATCACTTAATTATAGCCTATATTAATAAGCACATGATGGCAGCATAATGACATCCCCAATTACAGCCTACATTCGGAGCTGTAAATGCGTCGAGTTCTAATAATCTCGAGCTCTACTTGATAAAGATATGTTTAGGTTTGAGCTTGGTTCGAGTTTGAAACACCAAGCTCGAGCTCGACTTGTTTAAAAATAGTCCAGTTCAAGCTCGACTAGGGCTCACTCAATAAGTGGTTATCAAGATGAGCTTGGTTCAGCTCGATTATTATTTCAATTTAACTACAACAACCATAATTAGTGAGAAAAAAAAATAAGAAACTCAAGCAGTAGACAACAACGACTAAGTCTTAACTCCCAAACTAGTTGAGATTTGTTATATGAACCTTTTGTTTTCAATATCCACTCAAATTAATATCACCGCAAAGCAAAATTAAGTCAAAAAAAAAATTTTAAGTACTTTTTGTAGAGAAGATCTTTGAAGGAAAATTTAAAATCATTTGATATATTAATAAATAGAATAAAACATAAAACATGCAATAACAGCTAACTAGAGTTTGTTACATGAATTTTTTGTCTCCATTTTATTTTGTTCATAGCTATATATCCTCACTAATATTCAAAGATTAAAAATCCTTTACAAGAATTTGTTTCTAAGCATTTCTAGGTTGATCTCTTTCTTTTTTAGCACCCTCCATTGCTAAAGTATTACATTTACGAATCAGGGCATGTGAGCGTCTACATAATACATGACTGTAACATCTCAGATATCCTTCTCTCATTTTATCTCCAACTTCTACCCGCACCTGTCTAATGTGATCATTTTTAATCTTGTCCAACCTTGTGTCTGTCACATCCATCTCAGAATTTGCATGGTGTAGTGCAATTAGTGCCCAACATTCACTCCCATAGAGCATTGCCGGACTCACCACCGTCTTATAGAACTTACCTTTTACCTTATTAGATATCTTCTTATCGCATAGTACACTTGTAGCACTCCTCCATTTCATCCATCCTACTTAAATTCTATGAGAAACATCCTCATCTATGAGACCCCCTTCTGAAACATAGAGCCTAGATTTTTGAATTGATTGCAATTAGGCACCACTGTACCATCTATCTACCCTCAACTTCCTACTTATTTTAAACCAAACTCGCAATGCATGTACTCCTTACTGTTGCTTAGCCTAAAACCCTTGTCGTCAAGAGTTATTCTCCATAATTCCAAGTTTTGGTTTTATCTCTTACCAGTTTCATCGACTAGAACAATGTTATTTGCGAATAACATGCATCTTGGATTATCTTCTTGTATATTATTGGTTAGCTCATCCGTTACTAGGGTAAATGAGTATGGGCTCAAAGCAGAAATTCAAATAACAAACAACAACAACAACCAATTCTTTGTCCCAAACTAGTTGAATTCAATTATATGAATCTTTTGTTTCAATTATCCATTTTGGTCAAATTAATATCAATGCGAAGCAAAGTATAAGTTGGAAAAAAATTTCAAATGCTTTTTGTAAAAAGATTTTTGAAGAGAAATTTTAAAATCTTTTGATATATTAATGAATAAGACTAACTATAAAATAGACAACAACAACAACTAACTATGATATGCTACATGAATCTTTTGTCTTCATTATATTATGTTCATAGCTATATCCTCACTAATATCCAAAGATCATAGATTCTTAGTGACAACTTCTCTCCAAACAGTTTTAGATTTACCTCTTTCCTTTTTAGCATCATCTACTACTAAAATATCATATTTGCAAACTGGTGCATATGGGAAAGTAGAAATTCAAGAAGAGCAAACATTCAAAATTTGTAGGTAGGTAAATGGAAATGCTTGCTTAATTGAACTAGTCCTGATGTCGAAATAATGACCAATATGCACAATGTGATTCAACCTCAAAATCATATATAGACAAACAGGAAAAAAAAATGGCATGTACAGAGATAAGCCAAGATTAAGAGAGAGAGAGAGAGAGAGAGAGAGAGAGATTATACTTATAATTGTAGTAAACCTACTAAACAAGCGCATGTAGACATACAATTGAAGATATGGAAACAAAATCATAAACACTAGGGTGAAAAAGAGATATAAAGGATGTATTTTATTTGTTGGTTTCATTTGAATGATTGCTATAAAGAAGCAAGCCATGGAATTCAAGAATCACTTTTGCTTAGATAAAATTGAGAAGTGAAGCACATTGAGGGAGTTTTTTTGGTTAAGCTTTTTTCAACAAAGCTATATGCATGTGCAAAACCCTAATTTAAATTGATATATTTTAATGTAAAATTATTTAAAGCATGTGAGGCAGCTCATGAGTTAATGAACAAAGTTCAAGTTCGGCTTGTTAAGCTTATCAAATGAGCTGGTGCAAGCTTTTTTTGAGCCGAGCTTCAAACATATCATGAGCAGCTTGGTTCATTTTCAGCCATACCTATATCGTAGCCTTCTAACAATTAGGATACTAAGAAGGCTCAACACTTGAATTATAATTCCCATGGCATCACAACTTGGCCTAACTCTAGGAAAGCGAGAAAAAAAAACACTCTTTATCAGTGAGAAATTTGTAATTACTTGCCAGCAATTAATTGAATTAAACTGATTTAACTAAACATATATACAATATTGTAAGAGAACTAATATATCAACAATGTCAAGTATCTGGTAATATACCCTGTATGAAATCTGCACCATGATTCTGAATTTCTCAAGTATTCGAACTTGTGTTTTCTTGCCTATCAAATGCTGTGCTTGTGCATGACATTTTCATAATCACTTGGATTACAAAAAGGCCAAAGCATGGGTAATACAAGACTTAAAAAGAAAAAAGCTTTTGGGTGAAAGAAATCAAGGACAATTTGTTCAAGTTTATATAGGGACCACTCAGGATTCATGTTAGCCTATATTGTTATCTTCCAATATATCTTGCACGCTTGGCACTGGTTTACTTTATTGCAGTATAACCAATGTATATTATCAATGCCCTAATTTAGCATATTGGAACATCATGAATATAAGTTTTTCTATCTTCATCCCTGGTTCTCTCCTATTTTCTTTTGTGTTTAATATTTAGCTTAGTTTTTTGAAGGAGTTTGACATTGCTCCACTTTGAAAAATTTCCCAACCATACTAACTGAATCATCCTCAATCTGTTATGAATCTTTAATCTTAAAATTCTGTTCTTTAGCTGTTGCTATGTAACTCAAAGAACTTACAGCTTAAAGTGCACTTTTGATAGATTCAAAGACGGAGTAATTTAATTATCCTCCCTTTTGGTTTGCCTACCCCTCTTAGTACTCTTTACCTTTTCATTGGCATTTGCCATTAGTTTGTAATACTCAATCTAAAAAGCATGTATAATGACATTTTTTTCTGCATTTATGTAGTGTGAAGTCTTTACCTTTTTCCATTGGAATAAATAATCCCATTTTGTAAAAGGGCTTGTTTGAGATGTATCATACTTATGTTACATCTTTCCAATATGAATAGCCTTTTTGGATTGTTGATCAGAGTTTTTACTTAAAGGAAGTATATTAATGAGTTCTGGCACTTCCTCCTTTCTGTTTTTTCTTTTCATGAAGGCTAACTATTTCTTTCTTTTTTTTTTTTTTAATTTCTTCATGGCAGTTACAGCAGTAGAAAATGGTCTTCAAGCTTGGAAGCTTCTAGAAGACCTAACCAATCATTTTGATCTGGTTTTAACTGAGGTTGTCATGCCTTGTGTATCAGGCATTGGCCTTTTATGTAAGATTATGAACCACAAAACCTGCAAGAATATTCCTGTGATTAGTGAGTTTATTTCCTCTATTTTCCATTTTCTTAGATTCAAAACTAACAATGTTTACCACATTCATCTTTAGAAATTGATACTCTTAACTTTATACCTGGTGAGTTTTTATGTGCAGTGATGTCATCTCATGATTCCATGAACATAGTCTTTAAATGTTTATCAAAGGGTGCACTTGACTTTTTAGTGAAGCCTATTCGAAAGAATGAGCTTAAAAACCTCTGGCAACATGTTTGGAGGAAATGCCACAGCGTGAGTTACTACGGTTATCCTGCTTTGTGTATGAAATATATCATGGACCAACTTTTGGACTAAATTTCATGTCAGTACTTTATATATGTACTGAAATGTTAATTATGGGGGAATTTCAACCAAAAGAAGTTATTATATTTTTGTTAATTGAGCTAAAGTTCAATTATCAATATTTTGAAAGATTTACATTAAGTTTTCTGCTTTCTTCTGTTTCCATGGTAGCTTATAAGACCATAGAAATGTGCAAAATATTTGTATTTTCTTTGCATTCACTATTCATTCTTTGATCAGTCTAGTGGAAGTGGAAGTGGAAGCGGAAGCGAAAGTGGTGTACAAACCCAAAAATCCACAAAGTCAAAAAGCACCGAGTCAGATAACAAAAGTAGCAGTGATGATGAGGATGACATTGAAAGTAGTGGTTTAAATGCAAAAGATGGAAGTGACAATGGAAGCGGCACTCAGGTATCACTTATATTTTGATCATTTGGTTTCTTTCATGTGATTTTGAACCGTGTTTTTTGCATTAACTCTTATCTATATTTTGATTCTTGATTTTATTTTTGGAGTGCCACTTATGATATTCTTACAAGAACTTCAATCTTGCAATTCCTTTCTGTGTTTGGAAACAAAAATGCAGTTCACTTTAATGTTCATTGGTTGTGTAAACAGAGGAAAAAAGGTAAGCAAACACTAAAAATTGTGCATTACATGTAAACCAACAGAAGTCGTTCATGATTCGTGCTCAATGCTGCTTAAAACACTAATGGGAATTCCAAAATGAAGACAAAACGCTAGAAAAGACTTTGTTAGCGCTTTTCTACAAGTAGTATTCTGTTTTCAATATTTGCATGCCAAATAAAATCCCTTGGTTTGGTGGCACTAGTCTTTCAAAATTTTTTTGCCTGTATTATGGTCATTGGACAAAAAAATAGGATGGATTATTGCTTTGTCTTTGTTCGTAGTGATTTAGATTTTCAATTGGCAATTTTGATTAGCATTTGAAATTTGGATAAACCTACTGTAGAGAATAGAAAATTTCACTACCATTATATTTAAAATTATTTTTATATAAACTGTTACATTTAATTATAATAAGAATACTTTTTTTTTTTTGAACAAATTATAATAAGAATACTTGCTGCATGTAAGATAGGTAAACAATATATTAATAACATTATTTTTTATTTAATTTTTTATTATTAAATATAGTATTAGTTTTATGACTCTCACCTAACATACTATTATATACATGGACAATTTATTTTATGTATATTTACTTTATTTTATTTGAATTAGTTTTTTTTTTAATTCTCCTTTACTTGATTTCTAACATTATAACATATTTTAAGAAATGCGGAATGTGATTAAAATTATTAAAAATAAATTTCACCTAAAAAATTATTAAGATAAATAAAAAATAATTTATAGAGAGAAAGAATGGAGAAGAAAATAATAGATATGTGTGAAATTAAAAGAAATAATTTATCCAAGAAACAATTAAAAAATAAATATATTTAAAATTTTTGATATATAACTTTTTTTTTTTTTAATATATGATTTAAGAAGAAAGTTCTCTTAGGGGGGAAAAGAAATTTCAAAAGAACAAACAAAAAATTAGCTTGAAAAACATTTTAAAAAATAGTGAATAAATATTGTGTGTGTAAGAAACAAATGCAAAAAGTACAATAGCATACGAACACAAATTTTGTACCTATGCAGAATTTTTAAATTTTATACCATAGTAAAAGCTTTGAAATTTGCATGTAATTATATACTAAGACACAAATGAGAATTCAACAGACATATATTGCATTAATATGCCATCTCAAATTTAGAATTTATCATCTGAACATAAACAAAAAAATGTGAAAATTAGCTTTAAAAATAGTGATAAATATTGTGTTGGTAAGAAACAAATGCAAAAAGTACAATAATCTGAAAGAAATTTGTGCACTATTATTTATCACATAATTTTAGTATTTCTCAAATATTAACAAATATCTGTATTTGATGGTTACTCATGTGAATTCCCCTAGACTTTTTAGCCACACCTCAATTAAGAATTGGGGCAGAAAGGGATTGCAAAACCCGTCTTTTCCTGCCTCACTGTTTTCCTAATTCAGCTCCTTTAAAAAAATAGCAAAGTCCAAATGTACCTAGAAGTTATGCAATGAAAGTTATTACAAATGTCAAAAGACATCTATTAATAGGTACTTGTAGGCACAAGTCGTTATTGAAACAAAAGCATGAAACCTTACTTAAAAAGTGAATCTTAGCCTTCCAAATTTGATTTTCCAAAGGAAAAGGGTCAATAGTTAACTTATGATGACAATGCATATATTTATGGGATAATGGCCGTTCCCATTTCAAGTGTTTGAAATGTTCCTTTTTTTATTTAAATGTCAGAACCTTTAATTTCTGCAATAAAAGTTTGAAAAAAGTTTAATTTTTTTTTCAAAACTGCATGTGGTTGGTTTTACTTCCTGAGTCAAAATACATGCAATCACATTATTCACTGGAAACCATGTCTTTAAATATCTCTCTTCCAAACCTCAATGGGCGCAGTAAAAAACTAACCTCATCAGGAAATCTTCTTCAAAGCAACACGATTTTCTTAAACCTCAGTAGCACCCACATCATTCTCTCATTTTACCATGTAAAATTCTGGTGGTTTGTAAAAACAGAAACCATGTAGACTAAAAAAAAGCGACCATTACATGAATCATCCCACATGTGTGGGCTCTAGGGAAGGTTGATGAACGCAGCCTTCTCCTTACTTTTTTTTTGTAGAGAGGTTGTTTTTCATGGCTCAAACCTATGACCTCTAGGTCACAAGTGGAGTAATTTTGCTGTTACATAAAAGCCACCCTCTTAATAATCATATAGATTAAGAATGTTAAATTGTTAGTATGTGCCAATTGAGATTTTGTGGAAATTTTGAATCCATTAAACAGGTACAACATATCTTTGAAATTGCTTTTATAAAAAAGTGAAAAATTCAAAAAAGAATTACATGTCAGCAATTGAATTTGCTCCAGCCAAGTTACTTTGTTGAGGATGATGTGAAATTTACAATCTTATCCTTGTAAGATTTGAAGAGAGATTCGGCAAATTAACTATTTTGGTAAATGTTAGTTGTTCTAGTAACGGTTAGCTGTTTGAGTAGCTAGTAGTTGTTTGAATAGTTTTTCATAAGAAGTTAAAGTTAAATGTTATAAGTGTTAACATTTTATAAAATGCTATCTTAACCTCTAAAATCTAGTTCAAATGTTATGTCACCGAATACTATGAAAAATAGCATTTAGTTAAAACGCTAAAAGCTACTTAAAAAGTTGGTGCCAAACACAGCCTTAACGACATTAATTTTAATAAGTCATGGTTTCTACTTGCTATGTTTTTTCTTATTTATTTATTTTATCAAGTATACGGAGGTAATTAGGTAAATGTGAGGTGTATTTTTCATCCCTAAATTTCTTGTATTGTCCCAAGCCAATTTCCTATGAAATTTTTGTAAACTATTCATGAGGAGAAAGAAAAAAAATACATGCACTTATTGAAAGTTTTCCATTGGTAAATAACAGGAAAATAAGCCAAAAAATTATACAAACATGCTAGAATCCAAGTAATTAAAGAATTTGCAGCGAGCATTCTTAAACTATTGGAGCCCTAACATTTGTGTCTTGTCATGGTGGTGCACCATGAAACTATGATTTTTTTCTCTCTTACGCACATCCTTTGGGTACTGGAATACTTCTTAATAGAAAGTGAATAACACACTGAATTTAATGCCCTCATGCACTGCAGTTACCACTAAAATGGCATTCCTTATTGGTTTAACCTTGTGTGTAAGAAGGAGAAAGAGGTGGCAAAGAAAGGAAGGCAGGCAAGTGAAAGGAGAAAGGTTTAACCCTGTGTTTAAGAAGGAGAAAGAGGTGGCAAAGAAGGGAAGGCAGGCAAGTGAAAGGGAGGGGGAGAAAGGGGAAGCATGAGACGGTAGATTAAAATGGGTAAAATAAGCAATGTAGGCCCACAAAACTTTCTCCATAATTTAGAAATGTGTATTTTGTGCTAAGAGCAATAAGCTCCAATGAGATAATACAAGATGGTGGTGATTTGAGAAACAGAAAACCCTAGATATAACAAATGCCTATAGCAAGGCACAATTCTATAAGATGGAATTTTTTGCATATCAACAATGCTTCAATCCATAGTGTATGTTTATATATTTGTGTACCTCTGTGTAAGAAGTTGAAAGAGGTGCCAAAGAAAGGAAGGCAGGCAAGTGAAAGGTAGGGGGAGAATGAGAGGGTAGATTAAAATGGGTAAAAATAAGCACTTTAGGCCCACAAATCTTTCTCCATAAATTGAAAATGTGTATTTTGTGCTGAGAGCAATAACCTCAGATGAGATAATACAAGATAGTGGTGATTTGAGAAACAGAAAACCCTTGGTATGACAAATGCCTATAGCCAGGCACAATTCTATAAGATGGAGTTTTTTGCATATCAATAATACTTTAATACATCATGTATGTGTATATATGCATACAACAAAAGAACATATTTTTAGCATCGTAAGGTGATAGATTACAGATTCATACCACAAGGATCCAACTGTGAGGCCATTTTGACATTTCTGAATGCATACTGATGTTCTAACTTAACAGAGCTGTTGGACAAGAAGGGCCATAGAAGTTGACAGTCCAAAACTAATGTCGCCAAGAGACCGGGTAGCTGACCCTCCTGATAGCACCTGTGCCCAAGTTACACATTCAAGGACAGAAGCATCTGGCAACAGCTGGGTGCCCATGCCTATGACGGCAACAAAGGAATGTGAGGGGCAAGATGATGATCTTGGTATGTATGGCTCTGTCAGCACAAATTGTCATTGAACACTCACTTTCATTTAGTGAGACTATGCTGCATTCAATGTTTAGGCAATGGAGTTATGGGCAAGGACTTGGAGATGAATGTACCTAGATTTCCAAATTTGCTGCTTGAACACCCAAATGAAGAAGTTGACGGTAATATAGCAGGAAATAGTGTAGAGAAACTCCCTGAAATAAACTCAAAGAACAATGCTGGGAAAATAGAAAAAGCACAAGTAGAGATCAAAGGTGGGAAACAAAATGAGGATTCAAGAAGCGCAGCTGCTGATGTTATGGGTGTCATCACTAACAACACCAATCCTCAGATGAGAAGTGCAGTTTTTGACATCCCATACACTCTCCCCAGGGTTCCCAACCAAAAAGATGTGGCTGTTTATGAAACTAAAGATGTCCCTTCTCTTGAGCTTAGTTTGAAGAGGTTTAGAGATGATGGAGATACCAGGACCAGTGCACATGACCGAAATGTTCTTAGGCATTCAGACCTCTCTGCATTCTCAAGGTAAAATAAATTTTTGTATGTCTGATTGGATCACTTTTGATCTCTAAAATAACTGGATTTTACAGCCAGGGAATCTTCATTACCATGTAGGTATAATTCTGGTTCAACCACTAACCAAGGGAATGTGGGCAGCTGTTGTCCACTTGATTACAGTTCAGAGGCAAAAAGAACAGACTTGATACAAAATTTTCAATCAAACTCAAATAGCACCCCTCCTAATCAGCGCTCCAATGGCAGTAGTAACAACAATGACATGGGTTCCACTACTAATAATGCATTCTCCAAACCTGTATTCAGCGGCAAGCCTGCACCCAAATCTACTGCTAAAGGCCCCAGTCTCTCTTCTGCTTTGCAGAATGGCTATATGCATCTTCCTAAACCTGGAAATGCTGATGTCGCTGCAAATACAATTTTAGCTCAAGCCAGGGACGCAAATCAGCAGGTTAAAGTGGAGCATCACCATCACCATTACCATCACCATCACCAGCACCACCATGTTCACATGCAGAAGCAGCAGCTTGCCAAGCATGATGATTCATCACTGAAAAATATGTCTGCAGCAGCTCCCCAGTGTGGGTCATCAAACAGGTTGAGCGCACCTGTAGATGACATTGTTGGTAATTGCAGTTTGAATGGGAGTGCATCAGGAAGTGACCACGGAAGCAACAGACTGAATGGAAGCAATAGACTGAATGGGAGCAGCATTGCACTAAATCTCAGAGCAACAAATACAGAGAGATATAATGAGGTAGCCGAAAAACTCAGTACAGGATGTGGAATTGGAAGCAGAACTGCAGTTGATCAAAATCATTCTGCATACAGAGAAGCTGCTTTAAACAAATTCCGCCAAAAGAGGAAACAGAGATGCTTTGAGAGGAAGGTAACTGATATTACATTTACATCAAGTACTGAGTGATAAAATAACTTATCAGACATGACCCCTAATTACCCCCAAAGGGTTGGCCTATGGAAACCACGCTGGACAAACTTCTGGTGGTCCTGAGTTCGATTTTTAGGGGCGTCCAAGCAGTTAATTAACCCTTGCTTGGGCTTAAGTCCGCCAATGCTTATGGATCATAACTCCATGTGTATTGGAGATTTGCCCAGTCGATGTGGAGGGGCCGCTAGTCAGTCCTAAGGACTGGACCAAAATAAATAAATAAATATGACCCCTAATTCTAATGACAAGATTTAGCATGGAGATAGACTGTAGTATCAGTAAAACCTGAAAGTATTGAATGCTATGAAATTCGATAAAATTCCTTAATGTTGCAAATACACAGGCATAGCCAAATACCCAACAAAACACCAATAGACATGGAAAAGACAATTTCCTTTAACTGCATTTAATCAAAAATCAGGATTCCCTATGTATGAGTCGGCTACATAAACTTTTGGAGTCAAAATATCATGTCTGTCCATGTTGCATTTTACAATAAAATTTCTTTGCTACGGTCAATTTGTGAGGAACTGGACAAGATTGTTCCTATGCATTATATCTCATATCTTTATTTCCAGGTTCGATACCATAGTAGAAAGAAGCTGGCAGAACAAAGACCTCGGATTAGAGGACAATTTGTGCGACAAGCAGCACATGGAAATAAAGAAAAAGATGCACTTCACTAACCCACCCTATCGCCAGATTGTGTTTTTGTGATATTGTACATGAGATTGCCACTAGCTCTACATGGGAGGAAGTATTTAGATTGGGAAAATGCATGGGTGTCCTGCTATAAAAGTTATAGTAGTCACTGTCGAGATGACATTCATTACACGAATAACAATGGTAGAAGAACATCTTGAACTGTACTTTATTATTGTGAACTAATTTGTTTCCATCGTTATGTACTATTTCTACCAGAAGGCAGCGGCCTTCTCTAATAAAGAAACTCACAGAGTTGGCGTGTTGTAGTTTTGTAAGACTCTTCATGTTGTCAGTTCCATGGGTGGGGGGGGCCTGCTTCAAAGATCTTTTCTTCTCTAATGGTTTTATGGCATTGGTTTTCTGATCTAAATTTCCTCTGAAGTACTACCGTGTCTGCAATGTGGCTATGGTTAATGATTTTAAAAGGTGTATTTGGTATGCATTTCATTATTGCAAAAGTTGAATGTTTGCTTGCGTCTCCAATTTTGAACTTCTAGAAAGATTTCAATCTTACAGATATTAGTTCACTTTCTGTATTTCTATATTAGTGTTTTTTCCATTTTTATGAACTGTCTACACTATGCGACTGTCAAATATATAAAAAAAAACAAAAAAAAAATAGAGCATGTCAGAAGCCTATGGCCTTAACATGTAGTGAGTAACCTTACCTTGGTGAAAATGCATCTGGAAAATAGGGGGGATACCAATGACGAACCCATGGGTCTGGTCGGTATTGTTGTTTGGTTCTGTTGCTGTTTTCAGAACTGGTGAATCCAAACTGATATATGGTTGAATTGAAATGGCAGAGTCTAACTGTTGTTATTGGGCTACTTTCTTGGCTTGTTCTAGAGAACATTACCATATGCAACAAATCATCATCTTGGCTAGAATCGCATGGAAGATCTACAAGTGAAGGAGAAAAGGAAATTCCTTTTATTTCAGGAGAGTGGCTACTGATGCAAAATGCTAACTGCAATATCCTCAAAGAATATTTCGGCACGAAGCTTCAATTCAATAGGGATAATAAAAGTAGAAATGGAAAAGATGTCAAGTGGACAACCCTTTCTTTTTTGGGCTAATGTGATTTTCATTTTGGAACTAGACCAAAAAGTGCATTTTCTTGTCTTATAGTAAATGTTATAATAAATGTAAATGATTTTTTCTAACCAAGAAAATTAATTTGCCAATGCCACATGAAATCTTCTCTCTGTTTCATGCAGAAAATTTCTAAAAGAATATGCATTTAAATGCTATATATGAAAGTCAGCATCTAAAGTGCTACATAAAGTTGAGCCTTTAAACTTTAGGTCACCAGCTTTAACATCTGTCTTTGGGAACAGACAATGGAAGGGAAAATACAGGACAAATAGAGAAATTTCTACCTTTTTTTTTTTTCAACAATAGAGTATTTTGAAATCCCATTCGCATTGGAGATTCCAACCTCTTAATACCCTCTTTTTTCTTTCGTTTTCAGTGGAAGATATCATGGGCGCAGCTGTGTCTGCAAGGAGTCTGTTCGAGTCATAAATTTATAGTTGCCAACCAAAAAGAATTCTCTGACTGTCAACTTCGACTCCCAGGGTAGAAGTATTCAACACCATTTTCCTTTAGCACGAACTGGAAATTGCTTATCTTGTTCTTCAAGTTCCCTTGTGCACTGCAAATTCCCGAGTTCACAACTGTCAACTGCAACAAAGAAAAACTATTAGAAAAAAGTGCTAAGATAAAGCAGCTTGTCATTAAATGAAGTTTAATTTAGAGTATAAATAGCATTCTTAAAACCATTATACCAAAGTAACATGTCAGTCTGAGGAAAGAATTCCAAAACTTCACTACACTTTTGCAGAGAGCGTTCAATCAAAGATACAAAACAATTGGAAAAAGAATGCAAAGATCATAGCTACAATTTTGGAATGCCGACATACAATGAAAACAAATTTCAACAGCAAATATGAAAGAAATTGTATATCTTTCTAGTATTTGTCCTCCCCCAAGAATTCCAAAATACTTCACTAACTTTTGGTTCAGGAGAGCGTTCAATAAAGATACAAAACTAATGGGGTAAAAAGGAATGCAACAGATCATTAGCTACAATTTTGGAATGCGGTACATATCAATGAAAACAATTTCAACAGCAATATATGAAAGAAATTGTTTATTTCTTTCTAGTATTTTGTCCTCACCCCCACCCCCTCCCTCGACCACTTCCCCTCCTTTTTTTTTGTTTGGAGAATTACAAACAACTGCCATTTTTCCTTTCTAAGCTCAATTTTCGACATGCCTATACCCCAACACCATTAAGGCATATAGGAAAAATAAGTAAATATCAATAAGTTCAATAGCACAAAATGGAATGTAGTCAAATAACTTGGCCATATGCTAGGCATGTGCAAGGTGATGCAGCATGTGTTAAATCACGACAACAGTTTTCACGAAGCAGCAGAACAGAAAGAGCTGCCAATTTAAGTTGAAAATATCATTAATCCGTATCCAAAACAGAAGACAGAGGTTTTTTTTCCTCTTTTGGTTTTTTTTTCCTTTTCTTGATTTGTGAATTTGGATCAAACAGCGGACAATGCTTCAGTGGAGTTAGGAGGGAAACAAAAGGTTGTAAAAATTACCTGAGAGCTTTCTTTATTCTTCCCCCTCCTTTTTTTTTTGGAGAATTAAAATGCATTTTTTAAGTAATTTGAATGTATACACAACAACCATTAAGGCATAGGAAAATAGTATATCTAAGTTCAAGCAAAGGAATGAGCAAAAACTTGCCATATGCTAGCATCTGCAAGTGATGCACATTTAAATCACGACAACAGTTCACAAGCAGCAGAACAGAAAGCTGCCAACTTAATTAAAAATATCATTAATCCTATCCAAAACCAAAGACAAGCTTTTTTTTCTCTTTTTTTTTTTTTTCCTTTTCTTGAATTTGTGAATTTGATCATACAGCACAATCTTCATGGAGTTAGTGAGGGAAACAAAAGGTTGTAAAATTAAACTAGACTTTCTTTATTTTCATTAAAATATATTTGTACCATAGAAACTTAAACAAGCAGCCAACTGATGATAATAATAGAATATATCCACTCAAATATGATAGCACAACTTACCTGTCCGTGCACATCAGCAGCCAAACCAGTGGCCAAAGGTTCTGTTTTCATCAAAACATCTGCAAGGTATTCCATCTGAAGTATCAATGTAGGCCTCTCCATGCTTGAATATATATCCTCATGATTAAGTGTGACCAATGAACAACCCTGAGAAGAAAAGTACAGGAAAAATTGAACACTAAACATGAATAAATAAATACAATTACGGGGAGTGGTCGACAAAAAAGGAGTAAACAATCACAAAAATTCTTACAAAATCTGATGTTAGAGTGTGGCAATAATGCAGGAAGTCTAAGACATGATCTGAAGAGCCATAAGCAGCCACCTCCATAAGAGACACATCATCTATCATGATGGTGACATTGGTTTTGTAATTCTCAGGTAGGGCACAAATAATTTTTTGTATTTTCTCATACAGCGCAAAAAATCCATCTTCAATAGTTTTTCCTTGATTTCCATCTAGCCAAGAGTAAAATTCAAAAGGACTTCTAGTCATGAAATCAGTCAAACAAAAATATGTTTCTATCAATCATCTCTATCTTCTCATATTTCAGAAAGAATTTCAGTTAATGAGGATATTAAAATCCGTAAAAAGAACTTTTTTTAACGGTAATAAAAATTTTAGAAAATAAACAAAAAAAATTAACCTTGCCAAATTCATAGATTCCCCAAGGACCCAGCAATCATACTAAACCTTACTGCATATGATTCGATAGTGAACAGAGTATACTGAGAACAATCAATTATGAGCTAATACTACTAAGGCAATTAGCTTAACAAACACCTTTTAATATTCATTGCTTTCACAAATTCGAAGAAAAAATATTTTCAGATGATAAAAAGAGAATCAAATAAATATATGTAGCAAACCAAAACCAAATGTACCTGATTCTCTCACCTGGGCACTGTAGTGCAAGCATGTCAAAGAAAAAGAATCTGCTATCCCTTTGAGCACCCAGATTGCAACCCTGATAAAACATGTACCAAAATAATGCTTCAACAACATGTAAACATTGCAAAATTATGCACATATATATATCATTTCTCTTTTATCAGCAACTGGCAAGCATGATTACGCACCAAAACGGACTAAAATCTATGATCCCTCGCTTCCTTTACTAAGAAATCCACATGTTCAAAGTTCTAATTTTGAAAGGGAAAAAAAAAAAAAAAAAGCGACCACAAAAATCACAGATTATACCCTTAATTCAATACAGTAATACTAAAACTTCAAATACTAACTTAGGCATTGATTCATGCATCTAAAACCAAGATCAAGTGAGAGAGAGAGAGAGAGAGAGAGATAGTATACAAGTTTGCGAAGAATGCGATCATAGTGCGAGAAAGGGTAAGAGAAGGCTAAGAAGATGATGACATTAGAAGAGTTGGGATAGAGAATTCGCTTGATAAGATGGTGAAGGAGGAAGGAGCCGCTCGTCTCCACAGAGTCTTCTATCAGAACCACTTTCCCTTGCAGAGGAAGCCATGGCTGCGACTGTTGGTTCAAACCCAACGCCTCATCCAACAGATTCAAAGTTCGATGCTCCATTGTTTACTATCAATTCTTCTTCAACCCAATTTTCCAGTGGAGTCAGGGGAATTTCAGAGTTTTTAGGGTTTAAGGGTTGTATACTATTTGGACCGGGCTGAAAATTTCAGTGGACTCGAGTCTATTCTAGTTCCATTATGTGGGAAGAGGGGCTTAGCTCAACCGTGAAAAAAACAATTTTAATATTTAGTATTTTTTTTTTTTTTTTTACAATTTTATAAAAAAAATTATTTTCAATGAATTTACAAGGTATCTTTTTTGCTTTTATATTTGAATTTGCTAATGCATGAATCTATTTATATTTTGGTAAATTATTTTATTGAACTCAAAGTGATGCATTGATACATTCTTGATCTTAAAAATGAGTAAATAATCGATTCGGTTTAAAACCAAACAGAATTAAGATTTAGAAGGACAAATTAAATTTTAAAAAGCCAACAGAATTGAATTATTACCCTATAAACTGAAATGAATAGACTCAGGTAAATTCAGTCTGTTTCTTTAGTTTTTGATAACTTGAGTCCAATTTAAAGCCTAATGAATTAGATTTTAGAGAATCGATCCATTACATTAAAATCTGTCTATATCTGTATCTATATATCTATATAATCTTCAAACAAAAAAATATTTTTAAATTGCTGATGTGGCGCTCTCCTTTTGTAGCATTCTATTTTTTTCCTTTTTAGAAATTTTGAATTTTTCTTTTTTTTTATTTTTTTATGTTTTAATTTGATATATATTTTTAAAAAAATTATTTTCTGTAAATAGATATGTATGGCTTTAAATTTTTTTGAATACTTTATTATTTATAGAATCCTGGGTGTGAAAATGTTATAAATAGATATGTTATAAATTTGATATAAATTTTTTTGAATATTTATTTAATTTGTGTGAAAATGTTATTTAGATACTCCTTATTGCGAATACAAAAGCTATTTCTTAAATAATTCTTCCCAGTAGATTATTCATATAAGGTGTCATATTCATTTTTATCAAATATATTTTTTATTTATGGTTAATTTGATTTGTAAGTGCTCTTTTATTTTGTTTTTTTTTATTTAATTTCCATCCGAAAAACTCAATGAGATTTTATATATTGCATAAGGTGCATTAATTCATGAGTTATAATCTTTTGAGAATACTAAAACAGTTTAACCAAGTGTTATCCCATCAAATTCTACTTGGTTTACTTGATAACTTTTAAATCATTTCAAATGAATGATTGCGAATTTGGTCACTTCACTCTCACAAAATAAGACAATTCTTTTAATTGATATGACAACTTTATATTGTATAAAGAAAAATTATGTTAATCTTGTATGAAATTATAATTTGATGGGCAGGAAATTATAGTGATTTTTTTTTCTTTTTCATTTCTTCAAGATTGTAGCATTTTTTTATTTATTATTTTTTCATAAATATGTTAAAATTTTATCTTTTTATTTTTATGAATGACTATATATATTTGATCTTAGGCCTCATTTGGTTTAAATCAATCTATTCTCGAGAAGTTGACTTTTCGAAAAGTAGAATTTCGGGGAAGTTACTTCATGGAAAACATAGTGTGATTATATTTGGTTAATATATTGGTTCCCAAAAAGTAAAATTAGGTTAGTGAAATGTGAGATTATAAATGACAAAAATATCCTTCTTATAATTTTCAAAAAAAATAAAAAAATAAAAACATATTAATATAAGTATAAATAATTGAAATATTTCATTGAAAAGAAATCTAATAACCTAAAATCATTAATAAAAACACATTTCATACAATCTACTAGCTTGTAATCAACATAATTTTTTTATTGCATTCTATACAAAATATTATTATAATTTTATTTATTGGGTTAATGTTATTAATAACATTTAAATAAAGCAAGAATAATGATTCTCTAAAAAAATGACTAATAAGGAAAGAGCATGTGTGTTGGTAAGTACAACTGAGACTACAGTAAAAACAAAGAAATCACATTATTCATAGACGAACACATGTGCAGTAGAAGTATTGAAAGGCAAAATTGAGAATGTGAAGTTTTTGAACTAAGGAAGTCCTACTTTCTGTGAATGGGCGGAATGGCTAGAGAAGTTATATTTTTCAGTTACCTGGAATTGCACAGTTTGTACCGATCAAACATACTTTAACTTAGTAAATTTTTTCTATTAAATACTCCTATTCTAAATTTAGATTAACTAAATACTTATTATTAAATTGTTCAAAATTATTAAAATTATTATTCTAAGAATTGTGCTGCCACACATCAAATCAGTATTTTGCATATAAAGCTAAAAATACTAAACACTATTGTGATTATAATCTAATTGTTGGGTACAAATTGACTATCAACTATATGAACAACTGAACCAAACGCCTTCTAATTGCCGATTAAAATCTTTACTAAACATTTACAACCCAGTTTTGGATAGAAATCAATTATTAGCTTCATGAATTAGCATAATTAAATGCACGTGTGATTTAGTTATTCATATCAACTAATAACAGATAATGGTTGCTGATAACCGATGGCTGGTTGCAGATAGCGGTTAGCTAATGAAGGTGTTTGGTAAAATTTTGGTAACGGTTGCTATTAAAATGTAAAATAACCATTAAGCATATAATTATTTTTATATATTATGATGTTTTTTAAATTTTAAGGTGAATATATTATTTTTTATTTTAGTTTATTATATAAATTAAAAATTTATTAAAATTTTAAAATAATATTTAATAGAAAATTGTTATTTTTGAGAATAACTATAAATATTAATAATTTTTTAAAACATTATTCATAATTATTTTCATGAGGTTAAAGATATTCAAATATAACTCGAATGAGGTAGCTCATCAGTGGTAAAAAGAACTTACGGAGTTTATCACTATGGCTTAAGTAATAGATTCGGTTAAAAGTACGGAATTACAACTTAACTATTCGATATGAATAATTTTAGCTCTTATATAATATATTATTAAAAAGTTTATTGTTAAATTTATTTTATTTTTCTTTAAAACAATTATCATATTCCCATAAATAATATTGTTGGTTTCAATGTCGATATAATATATAATTAAACGAAATAATTTTTAAAAAAAAAAAGTAAAATACTTCTGGAATCTCAGGTTTAAACGCTAATTAAAGTGCATATACACTTTTTTAGAAAACAAACCTCAATCTTTTTTTTTTTTTTTTTTTTTTTTAATCTATTCGATATGAATAATTTTTAGGCTCTTAATATATAATATTTTAAAAAGTTTTATTGTTAAATTTATTTTTATTTTTCTTTAATAACTAATTTCATAATATTTCTCAAAATATATATTGTTTGGTTTCTTCCACTCTGTTCGCACTCATATTATACCCCTTATAATTATATATCGAATATATTTTTACAATAAAATCATAATAAGTAAAAATACTTCTGGAATCTCAGGTTTTAATCGCTAATTAAAGATGCATATACACTTTTTAGAAAAACAAACCTCAATCCCTTTTTTTTTTTTTTTTTTTTTTTTTTTTTTTTTTTTGTAATTTAGTAATTATCCCAAGAAATATAAATAAAGTAATGGTATGAAAAGGGAGCAGTCTATATGGATAGGCCAGACTTTAGTCCGACCGTAGATTCTCTCGTTAAAGCAAAAAGCAAAAAGAATGCTAAACGCTGCCGAATTGGTGTATAATACGATAAATTACAGCTTTTTACATTTGTATGAACTTTTACAGGAGTACTAAATTATTTAGTATTATTCTATCATTGAAAAATATCCATCTACGTTGAAAATGTATATTATCATTTTACTTTTTATCCATATTGTTATATGGTATTCATGTATATAATGAATATTAGTCTTTTTTTTTTTTTTACTATGCTCGTATTCACCTACATCGACTATGTTCGTTGTATAATTATTTTTATACTCTTTTAATTTTTTTATCTATATAATATTAAAGTATAAACTTTTTTATTTAAATTAAAGGAAGTAATATATGCATACACACACAAAAATTCTTGAAACTCATAAGTTATATGGTTCTTTTTTTTTAATATCCTAAACACTATTTTTTTTAGTCAAACATATTTAGAATATAAGACAAAAAAATATAAAAAAAATTAAAAATGCTTAATCATCAAGATGCCATCTATTTATTGCAAGGGAGATATAAATCTTTAAAATAATAATATATACAAATTATTCAGTAATGAAAAATAAAATAAAAATAAAAAATAAAAAATGTGTATTCTATTTGAAATTTTATTTTTTTTAAATACACAATCAAATCATACAAATATAAAGAAAAATATTAATAAACATAATATACTTTTTTTCTTTTTTTATCTCTCTCCTAAATAAAATATTATGTATATTCTATTTGAGAATTTATTTTTTTACTCTCACAACGAAATATTTAATAACATAATTTATCTTTTTTCTTTTTTTAATCTCTTCTCCAAATAAAATATTATGTATATTTTCCCTATCTACTCTTGAGAATTATTTTTTTAAACAAATTATACTCATATCAAATCAACTATTTAAATATATCTTAAAAAAGAAATATTAGTTAAAATATTTATATATTTTATTTCTCTCCCACACATCACAATATTCTCGAAATCACTACACTTCTCAACTCATAGAAACTAATATTTAAAAAAAATAAATTATAAATTTTCAAATGTCTCAATTATCATATATTATTTAATTAAAAATAAATTTTAAAAAAGATAAAACTCAAAAATTTGAATAAATGTTAATTATCATATATGTATTTAATTTAAAAAAATAACTTTATAAATATATTCCAATCAACATATGTATTTATTTAAAAAATAACTTTTATAAATATATCCAATCAACTAATAAAATATAATTTTCTAATTAACTATAATTAAAGTTATTTTAGCATATTATAAATTTTATTAAAAGCAATATTGAAAATCTCATATTTCCACATTTATATATAGTATAGATAGATAATGATCAAAACCGTGTTTGGTAAGATTAACGTTAATATAAGTAGTTTGTTTTTTAACGGTGGTTGAACTACTTGTTAATTAGCAAAATTGCAAGGAAAGTAGCATTTCATAATTTTCTTGTTTATGATGTTCTCGTAGGAATAAAAAAACATACAAATATAGAAATTGAAATCTTCTAGTTTGAAGAATACAAATACAGAAATTGAAATTGTTTGTTTTGGAAATCTTTTGAGTAGAGATTGGTTTTTTTGAAATAGGCGACAAAAGAAACTGTTTTTATATTTTCGAAAATTTGTTACACCTAATGAGTTTGAAATTTCAAACTTTAACTGATGCATGACAAACTCTAATGGAAGCATGTCAAATTTTAATGGAAAAACACGTTATTATCATACTTCATTAATAAAAGAAATTTACAATATCTAAATTCTTTAACCACAAACGATTAAATTAATAATTCATCTGGTATTTGAATTGCCAACAAAGAAAAATCACAAACATACATAATAACTCCCACAAATGATGAACCCCATGAAATTAGAGAAAATACATTAAATAAAAAACCCACAACCTCACTAAATAAATTATTAAAAAAACTAAAGAAAAAAAAAATGAAAAGAAACGGAAAGGAACCACTATCGATAAAAAAAATTGATTGGTTTACAAAAACTATAAGAATAATAAGTATATGTTCGGTAAAATTAGCTATTTTGTTAGCTGTTTGCTGTTTAGTAGTGTTTTGTTAGCTGTTAGCTATTTTAGTAGCATTTAGCTGTTAGTTATTAGAGTGGTTTTTCATGAAATGCTAAAAGCTAAACGTTACATTGGTTAATTTTTTTATAAAACTTAACATTAATCTTTAAAAATTAGTTCATACGCTGTGTTATCGAACACTATAAAAAATAGTATTTAGCATTTTAACTGATCAAAACCGCTAAAAGCTATTTAAAAAATTATTACAAAACACGGTCTAAGAGAGTGAGAGTGACACGGCTAATGTTTTATCAATTAGTTGATAAATATTTACTGAACAATTGAATTATTTATGATTTTCAAAGTAATTTTTTATTAATTTTATTTTTTTAATGAAAAAGAAACTCGTATTTCTTACGTTCGAAAATTATGATTATCGAATTTGTTGGCATTCTTCCCCTTAAAACACGTTTTTGACAGAAGTGGCTTTTTCAAACCCTCGATTTTATCGGCTTAGGCCAGTGGATGTTTGAGAAAAAAATAAAAAAAGATTTGCAGTTAATTACTATTATTAAATAATGAAAAGACAAATATAACGCAATAATACAGAGTTATACAAAGCTAAATGAGGTTATAATTGTCTCTTTCCGATGCAAAGTGAACTATTTAAATATAAAATAATAATAATGACATTTTATGATACATAGTGAACAAAATTTTAATATCAATAAATATTGACTAATTAATCGGACGTGATCTAGTTAATATTCATATATATATAAAAAATAAAAAATTTTAAATTTAAGTCTTCTCAATTATAAATGATTTCATGGTGGTGTTAATATTACCGAAACATGCCCTATAAAGAATATATGTCAAAACAAAAATTATTAAACAAAATTAAATATTTTAAATAATTTAGAATTAATTTGACCTTTTATTTACTTTACGATTCCTGGCTTTGCAGTTAAGGAATTTCCGTAGACAGACAAAAAAAAAAAAAAAAAAAAAAATATCCTTAAAATTATTTAGAATTAATTTGACCTTTTATTTATCTTTACGATTCTCTGGCTTTGCCGTAAGGAATTTTTCCGTAGACAAAAAAAAAAAAAAAAAAAAAAGATTTGCCGATGTGGCATTCTGTTCGTAGGTATTTGTGATGTTGTCCCCAAAAGTTTTTGCTTTTTCTTTTTCTCTTTTTTACAAATTCCTGAAAAATACTTGTCTATAATTATCAGCTTCTTCTTTTTTTTTTTTTAAATACAAGTTAGGTATATTTTAAAGTTAATTTACCTAAGTTAATATTATTTTGAAATGCTTCCTAATGATTAAACTCTCAAGAAAAAACTTTTTTATCATTATCAATTTTAAATTCACTGGATTTAGTATTGTTTTACTTATGTTATTAAACAAAACAATAATAAATTTATTTTATCATATACGATAAGGTAATTTGAGTGGTAAATACTATAGATGGTCTAAAGTTAGTAATAATTATATATATATATATATATATAATATATATATATATATATATATATATATATATATATAAAATGTGTGTGTGTGTGTGTAAAAATTTAGTAATGGTGAGAATAATCTAATTATAATAAAAAAATCAAATCAAAAACTTAGATTATTTAACAGTTGATAGTTTAGATTTTCTAGTTAGTCCAATTATATTTGTAACATATTTAATATTAATTATTTGAAAATTAGTAAAAAAAAAAATCAGAAATTATTATCTAGTAATTTATATATAAAAATTTGTAATATCATACTGTGGAAAAAAATGTCTCTCTCTATTTTGCAATTTTCTCTTTATGTTTTTATATTATGTAATTTATTTCTTGAAAGCTTTTGCTGTTTCTTTATAAACCACAACAATATTCTGTTAAGCTATTTACTTGCATTTGGTTACCATAATTCCAAGTATTTTTTGTTGTCTTTATACTTCTTTTATGCTAATAAATGTGCTGCTATTTTCAATTGTTGATATATTATTATTTTTTTTAAACCACTTATATTCAGACTCTATTATTAAGGACCATCTATTCCGATTCGAAAGTTAGTCATAGTTAAAGCTTTTTATCCTTCCCTAAATTTTTTTTTGAGTGAAATTGAGTTCAAATCTAATAAAAGAATAGTTTCACTAATATTTCAGTTTATATTATTGAATGGATTTACTTTTTAAAATAACCATTTTTCTATAATTTAAATATATAGTTGAATTTCAATTAAAAATAATCATTATTTGGCATTTAATATAACAAAAGGGAAATAAAGTAAAATAAAGAAAACCTAAAATTCATCATCTCAAAAAACAACGGAGAAAGAATACCTGAAATTTCCATTTTCATTCTCACTCTCTTCCTGCTGGGAATTGAGACGAGGATGACGCAAAACAGGAAAGTACAAAGCAAGATCAGGTATCGTATGTATTTACGTGAGTTAAAATTTGTGACATAAATACGTTTTATATATAAGTATTTCGTGATGTTAAAATTTGATGACATAACTAGTTTTATTTATATATATTATATATATATATATATTATTTATTAAATGAACTCTTAAAGGTAAGAACAATGCACATGCAAGAAATTAAAGGAAAAATTAGGGGGAAATATGGGAAATTTTGAACTTGATTTACATTTTTGGAAGACCAGGAGGGTAATCCGCAAAAAACGATATATAAATGAATCTTAAAGGTAGAACAATGAATGCAAGAAAATTTAAAGGAAAATTAGGGGAAATATGGAAATTTTGAACCTTGATTTACAATTTTGGAAGACAGGAGGGTACATCCGCAAAAAACGAAATAAAGTGAAAGGATATACACAAGGCTTGCCCTCTGTCTCAATTTAACTCTCTCTCTTAAGCAGTCTTGGTCTGCTTTTTGGTTTCTCTTTCTTTGTCTCTCTGTAGTGATACTCATTGAAGTACAAGTCATGGGCTGTTTTCCCTGTACTGGGAAGTCAAGCAAAAACGGAAGGAAGAAGCTCAAGAGGCCTGATGATCAGATCCCATCATCTTCAGGTATTTTAAGTTAAAACAATTTTTGAAAGATAATATTAGAGTAAAAAATTTAGTCTTTACTCCTTGAATGGTATCAATTTGGTTTCTCTTTGGTAATTTGGTAAATTTTTGTTTTATGTATTGGAATGAGTCTTTTTCACAATTCTATAAGTCATTATTTTCTGGGTTTGGAAGAATAATTGATCTGGAATGAACATAGTGGTATAATTTGAGGAACTCTTCCTCCCTGATGCATGTTTAATTATCAGTTTAAGGTAATGTATTTGTTTTTAAATGAATGCTAAAGTCTTGTGAAAGTTATGTAACTTTTGCTGTATATATAACTTGATTCAGCTACTGGGATTTTTGTTTCTTTGAGCTTTAAATACCTTAGTTTTAGATTGGGTTTATAATTATTTCTATCTTTTAAGGGATCCATCCAGTGTCAAGTTACTTCACATCATTTCTTATTATGTCAAATCCAAGAAACCTATACAATCAGTTTATGCAGCTGGATTTTTAAAAAAATTTAATTTTGTCCATGTTGGTTGAATAATTATTGATTACTATAGTTGTTATAGATTTCTTGATTTTCTATGTTGGTAGCTTATTCAATGACTTTCTATCTGAAACCCAAACCTTCTAGAAGCTAAAACTTTTATTTCGATTCATATTTATTTAAATAGGTTAATTCATGTCATGATGAATGTAAAGGGTTTTATTTACTTTATATTCTATGTAATTGATTGATTTATGGCCTCTTAGGTCAACTTGCCTTAAAGAATATGTTATAATTCGTTGTAGTATTCATAGTTCCATAACTACTGGAATCTGGATGATTAGTGGTGCTTATTGAAGCAATGCAAAATTAATAATGGAGATTGATTGTATTCTTGTCTTGTGTTTTCCGAAAAATCCAAGCTTAAATTTCTTGAATGTTTGTTTTTTTTGTTGTTTTTGATTCTTGTTTTCTTTCAAAACTCTTACTGATGGGGTAAAATTTCATCAGCTGTTAGACTGCTTTTAATTTTGCTGATGTATATGCATGTTCCATTTGTTGCTTTCCACATTCATTTATTGGTATCATTAATTGCAAATTTTGTTTAATGATCATTAACTAAGATAAAACAAAGCAATTGACTCTGGATATAAAGAAGGAGATCGCAAAGGATGGAGCCTCTGATCACATTGCAGCACATACTTTCACATTTCGTGAATTGGCTGCTGCAACAAAAAATTTCAGAGCAGATTGTCTTTTGGGTGAAGGTGGTTTTGGCCGTGTATATAAAGGGAGACTAGAGAGTACCAATCAGGTTGGTTGAACTTTTCAGATTTTACTTTTCCAAGAAAATATTCAAATTCATATGGCACAAAATATATTTAATTTATTCTATGTATCTCTGTGATGAATTATACCCTGAAATTTTCTTGCAAAACATTCTTCTAGATTTTGGGTGTCCTTTGGCTGCTCAATCAAAATGTTTCTCATGTACAAAAGACATGGTATGTGCAGCTTTCTAAACAAATTAAAAGGTAAACAATTAAATATATGAACTGAAGAACCAAATTGAAGTATTAGAAAGACGGGTTAATTACAAGACAAAGTAGACCTTATCTAGCCAAGACTCATACTTTTAATGTGTATACAAAGGGAGATAGGAGGGTAACAATCAGTTGACTTTTCCTGACTATATATATATATATATATATATATTCAAATGGAATATGCTTTTGGGTGTTTGGTGGTCCTTCACTCCTTTGTCTACACAATCAAAATATTCTAGTATTAGGAGACAAAACATATGTGCTTGCAAGCTTCTAAAGAAATAATGAAATTGATGAACAAATAAAAAATGACTTGATGGCCCAAAGAACTAAATTGAAGAAAACCAAAGCTGATATTACTCACAAGGCACTGCTCAAGATAAATCTTATTTGTCCAAAATTCATATTTCAGCTTCTGGAGTTATAGCCAGCTACCTCGTCTGCCATTGCAATTGTTGCTTAAGAACAATAGTAGTTTGCCCTTGTCACTAACTCGATCTCATTTGCTACTGCAATTATTGCTTCAGTATAATAGTTGCTCTATCTGATCACTACTTCCATCATACTACCATCAGCTCTATAAGTAGTGTGCCAAAACATTGCCACTGAGCTGTTGCAGCTGCAGCATTGTTGTGAGTTGTGACTGTGGCACTAGCATGAGTACCATTTTGCACCATGCTCTCTATCTCCTTGAGACATACTTACTGGAAGTCAATTCAGTTTCTCACCTCCATACTCGCCTCCTCCACATCTTGCACTCTTGAATGCCAAAATGAACATCAGAACTTCTCTTCCATATGCCTGCCAGGATTCTTGCAAGAACAGTCTCTGACTTCATAGAAAGCATTTTCCCCACAATATACCATGCTTCTTGGAGTATTTTTGACCGATGATATTACATAGTTTGTTACCAAATGGTTGACTATGGATAAAATGTTTAGATTCACAAGGGAGGTAACTGGTAATAAGAGATATATCCACACCTTAGGACACATGCAATGTTATAGTAGGTTTTTTTTTATTTTTGTTCCTTTAAGAAAAAGAAACCTTTTTTGCTTGTGGTTTTATGTTTTTGAGTAACTAATTTTATTTCCTCTCTCCTCTTTATAGTTTCTTTACCAAACACTGTTTTTATCTCATCTCCACTGCCAATGATGACAATCGATAATGGCAATCAAATTTTCACAGTACCCATAGCTTCCAAATTTGACAACATAAAACAAGCCACTATCATCAAAACAATATATCAACGTCGATTACTACAAACCACCATAGATTGATGGTGAGCTATCACCAAATCTTCTACATGCCATGCCTACCCAAACCAAGATAAATCAAGGATGAGAAGTTTCAAACAAATTCAGTGATTTTGGGAAAATAAATGAAGAACTTATGCATTTTTATAGCAAACTTGGGTAAATAATGAAGAGATCCAGGTGAGTACAGCTGCATGCGTGCTTTAGAGAGGGTGTTAAATCGAGAAGAGGAATATGATGAAATTGAGGTATCAAAGAAGGGGAAGGAGAAGGGGGTGGTTGGGTGTAAGTGTAAGCATACAAAAACAGTAAGAGGATTCTTCTTTGTGTGGTTTCAGATTTCCTTTTTTTTTTTTTTTTTTTTTTTTTTTAAGAGGGAAGTGAGATAGGGTGTGTTGTTGGGGTGTAAGTGTAGCATACAAAACAAGTAAGATGGATTTTTCTTTGTGTGGTAGATTTCCTTTTTTTTTTTTTTTTTTTTTTTGTTCTATAAAACATTTTTTTTTTTTTTTTTTTTTTTTTGTTCTAAAAACACTTATGAGAAATGTATAGAAGAAAAACAGAACGACAGCCTCCAAATAAAATGTTTTATGCTTTATTTTTCTTTGAGGAAAATAAATATAAAAGGTAAAACAGAAGTGGTACTGAACAGCCCCTTAGTTTCTCTCTCTCTCTCTCTCTCTCTCTCTCTCTCTCTCTCTCTCTTTTATTGATTTTAGGAAGAGTAAAATTACCCTTATTGAATTATGGTGGATTGATAAGGTGCATAAATCAATTAAGGAGGATGTTTGTGAATTGCTCTCTCAAAAACCATGCCCACTTTTAACTGGAACAAAATATCGAGTATGCTTATCTTGTTTTGTTTTCTACTTCTTCTTCTTCTTTTTCCCTGTTTTAGTTCAAAGTTCTGCTCGGTTGCTCTCCTTTGTCGGTGGGGTATCTCATTCATTTTTTTAAATTAGCTTTTGATTTCTTTTTAATCTTTTGCACTTTGGTCTTATTATGCTTTGTGGTAAGACTTGAAATTGTTCTTTGGTTTGGTGTAGATTGTAGCAATAAAGCAACTTGATCGCAATGGGCTTCAAGGGAACAGGGAATTCCTGGTCGAAGTATTAATGTTGAGCCTACTCCACCATCCTAATCTTGTTAACTTGATTGGGTACTGTGCTGATGGAGATCAGAGACTTTTGGTTTATGAATTTATGCCGTTAGGATCTTTAGAAGACCATTTACATGGTATGTACTTGACTCTTGATTTATAGCTGTTAGGCAATGAAAAGTTCATGTTCCTTGTCCCTTCCACACGTTAGTGAAAAGGTTGCGACAGAATTTATAAATCCCAGGATAAAAATTTCCATGTTAAGGGGAAGCATGAATTAATTAAAAGAGCTTGAACCATTTAAGTTTACTTGTACTACTTAGACACTGGATTTTTTTATTCATATCTTAAATGTACTTTAAACTTTTAAACTTATACAAACTCATCTGATGATAATTTTTTTTAATGTTATCCTCTCAGCATTGCATGAGAGGGGTGGGTTAGGGTGCGTAAGCAATCATGCTTGTGGCCTTAAGACTTGTGTGCTAGATTTCTTTTGCTCATTTAATTACTGCAATGGCTATATGTAATTCCATGTAACATTGGTTGACGTGTTATAGTGATTATATCTTTTGTATATGGTATACTTCAGACCTGCAACCTGATAAAAAACAACTTGACTGGAATACAAGAATGAAGATAGCTGCTGGTGCTGCAAAGGGCTTGGAGTACTTGCACGACAAAGCTAGTCCCCCTGTTATATATCGTGATTTAAAATGCTCAAACATTTTACTAGGTGACGGTTATCATCCGAAGCTGTCTGATTTTGGTTTGGCAAAATTGGGTCCTGTTGGAGACAAAACACACGTGTCCACAAGAGTGATGGGAACCTATGGATATTGTGCACCTGAATATGCAATGACAGGTCAGCTTACAATTAAATCAGATGTATATAGCTTTGGCGTTGTTCTTCTTGAGATTATTACCGGAAGGAAAGCTATTGACAATTCTAGAGCTGCTGGGGAGCATAATCTGGTCGCATGGGTAAGAGAGCTATCCTTCATATATATTTAAAGAAAATCTTGATTTAAATAAATATATTAATCCAATGCAATTAAAGCATGACCACTTGCAGCCTGCTTTAAATTTATATTATTTCTTTAACTTGTGCATCACCTCTCATTTTGGCCAAGAGGTCAATGATAGAATTATAACTTACTAAGTGCACCAATAGTAACTTCATTATTAATATAAAACCAAGGGTTCTATAATGAAAAAACAAAGGGGGTTAAGAACTACTGTGATAAGGTTAGAATAGAAAAGATATATAGCATTTGAATATATAGTACTTGAAAATTGCTGGGCATTTTTAACAGGAAATGAGCACTGATAATGGTGTATTGGCATAGATCTATTCTTCTAGAGGAAAAGGTCATTTACTTGTATACTGTAGCGTTCGTCCTCCATTTCAGGTAGTAGAATTGTGACTTTATTGGAACTGAAAGTTCTGCTACTAAATGTAATTCTTCTTATCCTCACAAGATTCTTATAGGGTCCTACTTATTGAAGTTAGCTAAAAATTTGACGTACAGGCTCATTATAATTCTAGGAGACTACCAAAGCATGTAGATGCAACCTATTGAATATATAATTTGAATTGCTAAGTTCAATGTTACTTATAGGTCCAGGGTTATTCGTCATGGTAGTATCTTAAAAAACTCAAGATAAGGGATTTCAGTCGATGAAGGATAATTAAAAAATCCATTGATTTTATTTTATTTTTATTGAGCCAAACAAGAAATTGTACCAAATCCGTGAACTGTTCAAAATCCCAGAAATGGAGCATGTTGTTTCTTATGAGAATCTAGTTCGGTGGAACTGGGATCCAAATTTTTATTTTTTTATTTTTTTTGTGTTTTTGGGAGGGGGGAGGGGTTTGAAGGGACAATTAAAAAATATTCCCTACTTCCCATAAAGATTGTCTATTATTCCATTTTGGGAAGTCCCAAAATAATTGTCCACTTCTATTTAAAGTTTTTTTTCCTATTTTACCCTTTTAAAAATTCACATTTTATGTGTAGTTGCATTTAATTGCATCTACAAATTTGGAGCTAATTTATTATGTGAATAAGGGTAGAAAAGGGAAACACATAAGTTATCACTACATTAATTGCATTTTCTTGTAGAAAAAGAAATGTGACAATCTTTTTGGAACAGAGAGAGTAAATAAATAAAAAAATTGGATAACTGAATATTGGCTGGTATTGCCCCTGAGTTGCAGGCAAGGCCCTTGTTCAAAGATAGAAGGAAGTTTGCACAGATGGCTGACCCTTTGCTCCAAGGCCAATATCCAGTGAGAGGCTTGTACCAAGCTCTTGCTGTTGCTGCTATGTGTGTTCAAGAACAGCCTAATATGCGACCCCTTATAGCTGATGTTGTCACAGCCCTTACTTATCTCGCTGCCCAAAAGTATGTTCCTGATAACCAGGCACAAGTCTGTCGTACAGGTCCATCTACTCCTAGAACTAGAAGGGAACAGTGAATTTTGTAGCCAAGTAGGAGAAACATTTATCAGGAACAGTCAGTCACCTAAGAAGGTTTGTTGCTTGGAAACCAATGATAGATTGCTGTCACCCTGCAAGTTGTGGCATTAAAGGATATAAAATTGGAGCAGATTTATGTTCATTATTCCAAGATCATTGGATTGAAGTTTAGTAGCAGGCGATTGTTGGTTGCGCATGCCAAAGTACAGGTTCTTCGAATTTTGCGTCACTGAAGATAGCAGGTATATTGCCAAGACCAACTGTGTTTTCTGCAATAGAAGATTCTTCTGTTTCCTTTCTTTTTCACCCTAATTTTTCTTTTTTGGCATTAATATTGATTATTATTATTATTTTCTTTGGTCTTCTTGCCTCTCTTTTACAAATTATTTTTACTGTACAATTGAGCTTGGGGCTTTGTATCTAGTTGTCTTCTATATAGAAACTTGTCAAGCTTTTAAAGAGCATCTCTTTTGCTTGGTATAACCATTATTATTATTATTTAATTCCTTATGAATGATTTCTATATATATTTATATTATCTATATATTCTATGATATATTGCAAAAATTGAATTCTAATCAGTCTGGATGCAAGTATAGCTTTATGCTCTAGTTCCATCATCTGAAACACTGGCATATGGCTTAGCATCTCAAGCTTACTATCCAAGGTGGTGGAAGAGTACATCCATAAAAAAGAGGAGTCTCTGTTAATTTTGACACTTTTTAACCCTTTATTTGCCCCCACTTTGACAACACTTCTAGAAAATTAATATAGTATTTATTAATTTTTTTATTCTAATTTTGCCTTTATTTAAATATCTCCATCAAACTCTCTTAATTACAAAAAATTAGTTAAAGAGTATTTTAGCCAATTATCCTTTTTTTTATATATATAGAATTATACTAATTAACAATATAAATACAATGTTCAAATGAATTAAGTCAAATTTTCAATTAATGAAAAATTAAACTTGAATGTATTTTTTTTGGTACTAAATATAAAAATTATGGTTTTCAGTCTGATCCCTTGTTTCTTTTCAATTGTGTGTAGATCCTGAGTGTTTGGTCGCAGTGAATTTTTTATCTAACTATTCATAGAAAAATTTAGGCTAAATGACAAAAGTTCAAAATTGAAAAGATACAGAAGGAAATTTATACAATTATTTCATTATCTGAATCTCATATCTAGTTCACATTCTCTTCAACCCTATGCAACTATTATTACTGATTCATGAACAAACAATAAATGGATATAACTCTACAATGTCTGTCCGATTCAAAAATCATTAACTCAATAAAAAGAATACAAAAAATAACTACCCCTAAGCTCTCCTGAACTTGCACTGATACACAAAAACATATCTACGGACACCATTAAATATTTGAAGATGAATACAGTACCATTAGGGAAACCTGCAATTATCTTACTCTTTATCTTGAACTGAAAGGCCATTGGCATCCTTCTGCTCGGTGCTTGGACTCTGTACCTCATTGGAAGACTTGCTGCCATTGGTGTCCTCAGCATTTGCAGGTTTTGCCTGTTATATGATTTTAATTACATGACTCCGTTGGAAAAAACATCAAGCAACTCTCAGCTTTCAGTATTTAAAATGGCGATGTAATAAAGCTTGGTACTAGAAAAGGCACTTGAGTTTAATGATAGTTGCATTACATTGTTCATATTTGTGAATGTAATGAAGCATAGATGTCATCAAAAACTGTGTCCATTACGCCAAAAGAGGTACCAAATGTGTGGGATTTACATTTGCAAATGAATATGATTGTGTAATCTACCAAAACCAATTTATTATATTTTGACAACATAAACATATTTATTAACACCTTCTTTTTCATGTTTTTAATCAATAAATGTATCTAGTATCAAAAACATTGTCTGGACAAATATGCAAGCAAGTCTTAGCACTTATAAGGTGAATAACACATTTGACTGTTCAGATGAGGTATAAATCCAAGTAAATAATATGCCTACTGTACTAACTGCTAATCATTCCAAAATGTCGATCCTATTTTCTAGGATAATCATACATTACTACTGAATAACAAGAAATTAAACATACCTTGTTTCTGTCACGCCAACCAAGTCCAAATGGTCGAGCTAACAAACCAATTTTTCTTGGGGGCACATCTTGTCCAGGCTCTTGATTGTTTCGTGGTGAATCTGGATGAGAAGATCTGAAGAGAAAAATAAAAGGCTTCTTATGTGTGAATATGCAAAAAAATTTTCCTTGAAATGAGGGTGCTGATGGTAGGAACTAATTTTTAAAAGGATTATATGAAAAGATTAATATAAAATGAGAACTGAGACAACCATAAAATAATGTCCAATTTTTTTTAATTAAAACTCAAAGCCAGAGAAATATGAACAAATGCAATAAAAAGAATGCAAATAAATAAAATCCCTGTCAGTACAAGGCATGACAAAGTTCTTTTGCATGAGCAATAATATTGACTACATACCTAGGTGAAGGCTGTGCTTTAAGCTGTCCAGATTGATACTGTAATGTAGCCTCCAGCATTGATTCTGCCATAACCACTCTCTTCTCCATTTCAGCAAGCGATGCAATGGCTTCTTCATACTTTTCCTGCACACACAAGATAATAAGAAAAAGATACAACACGAGACAAAATAGAATATCAGAATGAAGAAATTCATCTGAAAACATTGACATATAGAAGAAAACCAACACTGCTCTGAGGAGAGTAACTGATCTAAAGTGCAAGGTAAATTCATTAATATCAGATGGGGCTTTGTGTCTATAGTTCTATACTAATATGCAAGGAAAAAAATGGTTTCTACTCTGAACACATATAACTTAAACCTTAATTTGACATTTTAACAAATAATGCATAGCATGTGTATTACCACCCAAGATCAAGTCATGGCATTATTCATCACTGTTCCTAATTTCTTACACTTGCCATATTAAAAACAGTATATGGAAGTATAAAAAGTACACTTGCCATATTCAAAATGCATTTCTGATGCAAAAAGGACTCATCAGAACAGATACCTTCAAGAATTTATAAACCTTTTTCTAAATTAGGAGACTGGAATCGTAAATTATAAACCTGAAGAACTTGAGCAGCATATCTCTGTGCTGCAGCATCTTGCTCAGCATATCTACGAGCATCTTCAGTTACCTTCTGCTCTTGCTCCACCCGCATTAAAACCTATATAAGAAGCAATAAACGTTAGAATTTCCAAGAGCAATCAGAGAGAAGAAACAACTTTTCCCAAGCAACTAACAATTGGAAAAAAAAAAAAAAAAGAAAAAAAAAGAAAAAAAAGAAAAGATGAAACCTGGAGCATCGCATTTTCTTGCTCTTGCTTATCAGCAAGGCCCCTCCGTAACTCAGAAACCTCTTGCTCTAACTGTTCAACCTATAGATCACAAACAAATTATAAATAAAGCATATAATTATATAACTTAGCTTGCTAGCACGCATTAGCCTATTAACCACATATTGGAATCACAATTTTCTAAAACATATAGCAACTGAATATAAGATCATAAAACTGTCCTCAGCAACAAGCAACATAGACAAACTTTGGAGCATTTCCACTAAACTGTTATTACCTTAAAAGAAGATTTCATTAAGGAATCATTATTTAAAAGATGATATTATTAAGGAAAAAGGAGAGATGCAATTAGAAGGGTAAGAAATATCCCCCTCTCAACTAGAAAAGTTAACAAAATAAAGTAGCACTCTCCAATTAAATTGGATGCTAGATAGAGACAGCAGCAAAGGGCCTTGATGCAGAAACTCAAAAGGAAGCTTCAAGACAAATCTCCCACAATATCAATAAAGGAAAATTTTGGTTCCCAGAAAATCTTAACATTCTTTCTGAGTCAAAATCCTCCAGATCAATGCCAACCTTGCTTCATGTCAAAAACCTCTTTGCTTGTCAAACTTTTGGTTCCATTTCCCTTCACAACCTCTAAATTTCATCCTCCAAAATTTTATCTCCTTAAAACGCCTAGAAGCCACTCTAAAATGGACTGATAACCAGTGCAGTGAAAATTCTTCCACCTTCTCAATCCCCCCCATTCAAGTAGCCACAAAAAGGGAAAAAAATAAGCATTTTCTGGAGCTTTCCTTAAGATTATAACTCACCAGCCTTGACTCTTTCCAACCAAGGATTCCAAAAATCAAATTTGCACGAACAAGAAGGAAAGAGGTGGAGGAGAATAAAATTATGTACAACATACCCTAGCACTCAATTGCCGCCGGTTATCCTGTTTGACCATCTCCATCAGAGCAGTCTCCAACTCCTCTGCCCTGAAATTTTAAATAACAGCAAAATATAACTGCTATAATATGCGGAAAAAGAAAAAGAATAGAATAACTCTATAACATGTTAACTGTTACTCTAGAGATAAAAGGACTATGCAAAACATAAGTTTTTCAAAAAATAATGCCACCAAGAGATATAATTGCTATCACCTTTTCTATTTCCAAAAGAGACTGCTACCTTATAAAGACCATTTCCCACTATTGTTTCCAAAGGAAATCACAATTGAAAGCTTCAATATTATTTGGAGATATTATCTCCAAAGAGTTTTTTTCATAAAAAAAAGGTATATTTAGTAACTAAAGGACTCTCAGTCCCACAAGATATCAGCAACCAAACAACATAAAAAAGCTACAAAAGCAGAACCAACCCCAAAATGAGAAGGGGGTAAGATGCTCAAGTAAACGCACAGACAGATAATGGTCCTAAAAAATTCATGTATTCCTTTATTCCCAGGCATCCCAAACCATTAAAAATAGGCATCTCCAGAGAATCTTCCCCATTTCTTTCTCACAAAACCTCAGAAACGATGAATCAACAACAGATTTTCCAAAATTGAGGGGAAACACAATTCAGCAAAAATCCAAGAGATTTTCACAGTTGTTGTATCACATAGCACTCCAGATAATCCATTTACTAGTATAATGCAAAAATGGAAGGCAATAAGTTTCACAACTGTGATATCAAATAGCACAAGATCAAAAGTTTGGTCATGCCAAATTTGTTAATTGCTTGCACCTTCTTTGAGAATCAAGCAACTTACATGGTAAGTAACTTAAAAAAATGCCACATTTAAAACAAAGGAATAATGTATAGGCCCCTCAATCACTCTTCTCTTCAAACCCATAATGAACTATTACATTATGGGGAAATGGTTAACTTAATATTTGCAGAAATACTTCACCTAAACTTGCCTCTCATTGTTTTTCTGTTTGTAATTCGAATCCTTTTGTTTTCAAACAGCTTGTAATCTCTCATGTGGTACACAATTAAAAACGAAGAGAAATTGAATTAATTCTTTAGAACTAAGAATGGAAAATTGCAATGCGCTGAATTGGTACATTTTTCTAAATTTGGCATTACTAGATCAATGCAATCCTCAATAATCCAAAAAACAGAAAGGAAAGAAAACATGGGATGAAGTCTTTGCAGAAGCTCTCCTCTACTACAGTACTGCTACAAGTGCTCAGAACATGGGCATAATACAAAAAGCATTAATCAAAACTAATTACAGTAAGTTATGCAAATGCTTTCCTCCATTCCACCCACTTAGTCATTCAGTGAAGTGAAATAATCAATCCTTCAAATTGGCAGTTAAAAGTGACTATTATTTTCATATGTTATAGAAATCTGTGCCTAGTCAACTGAATACACAAGAATCTTGGAGAAAGTAGGCAATCCAGAGAGGATAAAGAATGTAGGATTAAAAATTTTTAAGGAATGAAGAGAACCTCCTGAAACTGCAAGATAACAAACATAGCAGTATAGCACATAAAGCAGACATTTATAAACAGGGTGAAGACATTATTCTACAAAAATATAAACGTTTAATATAAAAATGGCCAAGTGGTTCCAATAATCTAACGGATCCAAACAAGGAAACTCATATCCGTGTTCCGTAGTGTTAATACTAATGCAAATATCAACCAAATTTCCCTCCATCACACAAATAAAAACCTCAATCTCCAAGTCACACTTCTACCCATAGTTTACTAAGTATCTAAACAGTGAGAGCAAAAACTAAAGTGCACAAAAAAAGCACAGTATGGCATGCAGCATGTAAAGCCCTATGTTTATAAAAAAGTTTTAAACATAATCATTATGAAAAACCTGAGTACAGCAGATCTTTTCTCCTCCAGCAACTTGCACAATTCTACCTTCAACCACACTACCTGCATGTATTAATTAATAAAAAAACGGAATATCAAGTCCATAGTCTCGGAGTTAGCCACAAGCATGATGGCAAAAGTAAATTTGAGACAGAACAATTTAACAGGGGATTAATCAAAATACTTGTGCATTCCCATTTTACAATGTAGAATCATGCATGTGATATAATACACATTAAACATTTGCAACTTGCTAATTCAAACAGAAGATTGTGGTAGAAAAGATGGGGGTGTGCCTGTGTAGTGTGGGGGGAGAAGGTACCTGATCTTGAAGATCCGGAACACTGTCTATCTCCACATCTCCTGTCAAGCTTATAAGAACTTCATCTGCACTAGTGGATCCAGACTCTGAACGAGATAGATCACCACTAGCCTGCTTTGTCTCCATCAGCATTGATTTGGGATCATGCTTGAAATTGTATAGCTTTGATGCCAGACCCTGCGAATCCCTCCAAGCTTGAAGCCCTTTTGTTCTTTCCTCAACTGCAGCAATAACAGCAGGTCGATGCTTGTTTCTCAACTCTTGTAATCTGGCTTCATGTACATTCTGATAACCCATGCAAGCTGTCAACACTAGTTGGCTGCTATCAAAAGTTGAGCCAGCCAGGGATTGTAGCAAAGTGACTGCATCTCCAGCATCCTTAGTGGTGACTAATGCAGGGCCTACAGAAAGCTGAAGTCAATTAAGTTTCATAAAGAACACTGAATATGCAAATTGAGAAAGATCAAATGCCACAAAACAAAACGGAAGTTTTTACCCAGTACCATATAACTCCATCAAAGCAAGTGCTGTCCTAAATAGCATGACGCGATTTCCTTCAAAAAGCAGCACATCCCAGATTCGGAGAACTAGGAAAAATGAGAATGCTGTCAGATTATAGCAAGCTCATAACCAGTAACACTAACAATGCTACAAAAATGAGAATGCAAGGAATTGAAGAAATGGCCAATATTTTGTTAGTAAACATTATCATACAACATTAGACAAGTGCAAATCATAAAAGCATAGAACCTGACCACTTTCCCATGGAAGCATGTTCATGAAAATTGAGAGGAACCATGGTCCTGTAACCCATGCAACCTGCACTCCCAGATAATCCAGATGATTTACTGCACCAGAAATTAGCCCAAATAAGAAATCACCAAAAGAACTTCATATAATCAAAAGTTATATAAATGCAAAATATATGACAAACAACAAAGAATAACCAACCCAATTTAGGAAATCTTTCGCGCGCCAACTCCTCAAAAACAAGTTGGTCAACCTGACAACATGGAACACTAAATTAGAATACCCATTGACAACAGCTTACCCATCAAGACCTCATTACGTATCTTAAAGAAAAACACAAACACCAAAAAACTAATATGTTAGGAAACAGAATTATAGCAAGTACTACCTGAGACTCTATCATTTCCTCTGAATAATAGCCATCAAAATAATCATCAATAATGCCCATCAATGTCCTGAAAAATTGACCAAAATTCAGAAGCATGTACATAAAAGAAATCTGGAATGAGAAATATGATTCTAAACATTCTCTAAAAATCTAGGACAGCTTCTACGCTAGTTCATTGCTCCCTCAGATGAGAGAGGATCGGAGAAGCACTCAGCTAAAATGGATAAAGTCAAAAGAGTTTCTAAACTTACCAGAAGGCATTTTCCTCGGGCATAAGAAGTAGTAGCAAGGCAGCAAAAAAATTCATTGCCTGTATGCATGTCCAACCCAACAACTATATAAGAACTAGTCACCAAATCAAAATGTACTTTGTTTCACCAAGTATTGGAAGCAATTCAACATTCAAGTACCTGACAGTAACCAACAGAGGGGTTATGCCGAGCATATGCTGTAAGCAACCGCCTCAAAGCATTTCTACCATTATCATCCAAAGCGGGATGACCTGGAAATGTCCGAGGCAAATCCTGAATTGAAACCAATTGTTGAGAAACTTGCATTGTCAATTCTACATGAAAGTAGGACCCACATTAAAATTGAAAGAGTAAGTATCACAATAACCTTCTCGATTTGTCCTTTCCATTTCTCAGGTACACATATAGCATCTGCAGTTATATCCTTAGAATCACTGCCTGGCTGCTGTTCGACATGACTTCCTGAATTAGTTTTTGAATCAAGCAGATCCTGGTAATAATTCTCTGATCGACGTGCCCTGACACCGACAAATGCTTGCCAGAGCTGGAAATGTGAACATAATCATTTGTAAAGCTCATGTGCCAAAGAAATAAGGGAAAAAGAAAAGATGAGTATAAATCATACCTCCCCCCTAAGTGCCATCGGGACACCCCCACGAACAAGGACATCCAGTTCCTCTTTCCAGGGAGAAGAAGAATCTAAGGGGGCTGCATCACCAGCAGTAGCACCTGTGCCAGAGGTGCCAACACTGTCATTGGAAGGGCTTTCTTGAACTGGATCTGACCTTTCCACATCGTAAAACTCATCCTCAGAGTCCTCTTCAGATAATCCTTTCACAGATTTAGCATCTTCAAAAGGAGGTTCCTTTTTAGTTTCTTGAGGCTCTTTTGGTTGATTGCTCTTCTTTTTGACACGAAGGCTCATCATATCTTCAATGGCACGAAGGGATGATCTAATTTCAGTCCATATTTGGATCCTGTGAATTTTTTTACTGGCTGTGGACTGCTTCTCTTCATTTTCTGCGTGAGTTTCAGTCAAAACATCAGAACCAGGATTCTCAATACTTAAATCATCTCCTTCAACACCCTTCTCCAAACCATTTCCAGCATCCTGCTCTGTTTTTTCAGTATGCAATGCCTTTTTATGCTCCTCTAAAGACAAACCATTTACAGGCAATTGAGCAGACTCTGCTTGCCGTTCCAAGAAACTATTCCACCTCTCTGATCTTTCCTCCTCTTCCTCCTAAAATTAAGAGTACATCGCAACAGGTTATCATTTTACCAGGAATTCTTTTTCTTAAATCTTGGTTTGATTTCCAAATGAAGTAGTATAAAAATAAATCAAGATTATAATCCAATAAAACAATAAAGTTCATGCAATCAACATTGGTGCAGCTAATGGACTAGTGAAATGAATTTATTCTATATTCTTATTACTGCTAGGATATCAGCTACTCTACACCTAAGAAATTCAAATGAGGGTTTCCTTTTTGTTTCCCCTCATAGGCTTTCAATCACAAAAATGGTGTTAGCAACTACATTCAACATCGATAATTTAATAGGGAAAACTACATAAAAAAGAAGAAAACCTTGTAGATACTAGCATATTCTCTGTATCTTTGGACATGCTGTGGTCTGACTGCAAATCCATAGGCATCCCTGTCCACACCAATATCAGTTAATTCCTAAAATTCACAATCTTCTTAATGACAACATAATCGCTCCCAAATAGCACAACAAGTTCATAAAAACAGAAAAAGCAATAAAAACATAGTCAACCATATTCACGATAGAACAGCATTCAAGTTCTTAAGGACAAATGAATCATTAGCAAACAGACAAATATAATAGAAACAATACACGAATCTTCACAAAAAAAAAAAAAAAAAGTTACATAAAAAAGAAGAGAAACTTGTAGAGTACTAAGCATATTTCTTGTATCTTTGGACATGCTGTGGTCTGACTGCAAATCCATAGGCTCCCTGTCCCACACCAATATCAGTTAATTCCTAAAATTCACATGCTTCTTCATGGAACAACATAATCGTCCCAATAGGGCAAACAGAGTTCATAAAAAAGAAAGCAATAAAAACATAGTTCCAATCCATATTCACGATAGAAGCAGCATTCAAGTTCTTAAGGACAAATGAATTCATTAGCAGAACGAGACAAATTATATAGAAAATCAATACCGAATCTTCACAAAAAAAAAAAAAAAAAAAAGTGGCAAAAAAAAAAAAAAAAAAAGTGCATGGTAGCAAAATCTCCTTCTACCTGGAATTCTACTTCAAAGATCAGCCGCTAAAACTAGAAAACAGCATATTCCACTTCCACTAAAAACCCAGATTACACTTCAAATATTCATCAACATTGCCTCAACTCGAACTCAAACTTTAAAAATAGCACTACATTTCACACTCATTAGTTCTTAAACTGAGCCTAGCAGCAACGAATGCTAATCAAAATACAAAAAAAATAAAATAAAATAAAAACACAATCACTTATCTGCCGATCATCTCCCACCAAAAAACAAAAGAACACACTCAAAGAAACAAAAGCGGCGAATTCGACAAGATCAAAGCAAATTTATAGCGAACTTCAACTAAAATCCGGCAAATGTACGGACAGTATGAGCCGGAACTTAACAGATCCTTCTAGACGAAGACGCGTGGCGAGAGATAGTAAAATAGCGCTAGGTTAATATATATGTTACCTCTTGTGCTCAAAGGAAATGAGAGGATTCCCGGGCTTGGAGACCTTGGTATGGGCCTTCATTGATGGATCGATTTGATATTTGTATTTTGTCGGTTAGAGAAAGCAGATAGATAGAGAGAGATCTTAGGCGAGAACTGTCCTTGATTCTCTGCAACTATATTTAGACACAGAAAGAGAGAAGTGAAGTGGAGAAGGAGAAGGAGAAGGAGGAGGAGAGTGGCACATGCGCGCAGTGAGGGCGAGATTAGCGTCGGTCACATTATTGTTACATGTGGGTGATTTCTTAGCACGGAATTCGAAAACAGAGAAAGAGAAGGAGAGTAGAGGAATTTTAAGTATTTAGTTTGTCCTTTTTTTGTAATTTCAGCTGTCGTGGTTCGTAGAGAACTTACTGTGTGCGTGCGTTTTTGTAGTGTAGATCTAGATTTTTGATTCTGTGTGATACTGAGCAGAGGAATTATTGATGGGATCCACCACCATTTATATCGAATCAAGCATCGACTGCTACTATTGGATTGGCAGTTTTTCGCCCTTTTTTTTCCTTCACTGTTCATTTTTGATCTAACGTTTTCAGATATATCAATTCAAATTAATATTGGGCTGTATTATTTATTACACAAAATATAATTTCACATTAAGAGCTATCCTCAAAAATATATAAAACTAACTTTTCTTGCTAGGTGTCAAATATAACTGCAAATGTTCCTAACCAGTGACACCAGTGATGCAAGTCGGGTTCGATAATCAGAGTTATAGAGTTATGTTCCATAAATTTTAACTGTATTAGTAATTTTCAAGTTAAAAGGATTAATATTTCATAATTTACTTCCTCAAACTATTCTACACACTAGTAAAAACATCGTGGTTGTGTTCGGTAATAGTTTTTGAAGCAGGTTTTAATGCTTTTATATTACGACTGTGTTTGGTAATAATTTTTCAAGTAGTTTTAGCATTTTTACTAACAGCTATTTTTTTATAGTGTTCGGTAATATAATGTTTATACTAACTTTTAGAGATTAAGGTAGCATTTTATGAAAAGTTAACACATTTAATGTTTAGCTTTTTAGCGTTTAATAAAAAACTACTAATGCAGCTAACAACTACCAAAACAGTTAATTTTACCGAGTTTTTAGCATTTCATGAAAAGCTACTAAAATAGGTAACAACTATCAATACAGCTAATTTTACTGAACATACATCTATGTTATAGCGTAAATAATAAAAGTAGCATTTTGACTAAAAACTATATAAAAAATTATTGTCGAATTTGGTTGTAATAAAAAATGAGTGTCCAATATTCTTTCTATATAATACATGAAGGCAAATATATATATAATATAATCTTTCATGTTTTCGTTTCCATTAATATATTATTATCTTTTTATTACATAAATAAATACTGCTGTCACGACCCGATTCCATGGGCCGGACAGGCACTAGGGCCCAGGTAAGCTTAAGGCCCCGAGGCCCGTAGTCAGCCTGAAACGCTAGAATCTATTATCTCGGAATAAATTTCAATATTCAGCCCATATAATTATGAAAAATAAATCTCAATATTTTATTATTTCTCGGCCCAGGTTTATCTCCTACAGCATTCCAAAGGTCGGGCCCAATTTAAAATACATCACATTCTAATAAGAATCTAATATTTTATTATTTCTGCGGCCCGGTTTTCATCTCCTACAGGCATTTTCAAAGGTCGGCCCAATTTAAAATCATCACATTCTAATTATGTGCTTACAGATTAATTGTCTATGTTACATAACACAACTTAAATATATGTAAATCTTACAACTGCGGAGTCAACTAAACTGTTTGGTACTCATGGGCATTTTATACACGATAATTACATGTAAAATAATTATGGGAACTAAGACGAAAAAATTTCTCTATTGCTGGACGCCGAAGAAACGATATGGCAAAATCGGATTAAAGAAAAACTTACTTCCTGAAAAATCAAATAGGACATGTGAAGGTTTTCTAAGAGTAATAATTATTGCAAAACTAGCGGCAGTCACCGACAAATAATGTAGAACATTTCAATCTAGTGCATCCGACTAGTTATATGCCTCACGGCAGCAGTCACACAAATGGCACGATACCAGCACTCACAGAATCCGTAGTTCCACCTTCAAGTATATCAGTGGTATTAGATGAGCAGTGGCGCGACCCTGAAACCGCAACGAGCCCATCTCACGAGCATGGCTCGCCTCTCGTACATGTGCACGAGGGGAGCCGATCCCCATCGGGTTGGCCAATCCTGGCTATATCCTCACTGGACCCCTCCGCTCCTTGTTTTTTCTACCTCTCGTCGTTTCTTTCGCCATATCACGGAGGCAACCCGGTGGATCTCCATCCAAGTAGATCATCAAGTGCTCACAAACGGAGGCCACCTTGCGGGCTACAAATGTCAAATCTTAGATTGTCAGGTGCACCAGACAACGAAGAAGCCATCCTGTAAATCCCCATATAATCTATATCATCCAGGTGCACAGGGTTTGCGCCGATCTGACCATTTTCCCGGGCGCGACGTCAGGTTCCATATCGTAATTTCAGGATCATATCAAGACGCGTCCTCACAAACCCATGGTGGTTCACTTCATCCCAATATCACACACACAAGGCATAGCAGTTTTTTCACAACACAATAATGCAAACCATTGCCAATCAAATGCAGACCATATGACTTATGGGAAATCGTAATGACAAATGCACAAATTGGACATCATTTCAAAATTCGGCAATCAAATTAATTTAAAAAATAAATACATTAACAATACAACACAATAAAATAGAATGATAATGATAACAATAACAATGAAAATAATTTAAATACTTATAATTAAATGATAAATAAGGACAATATAATAAATAATTAGCAGCACATCTATTTCATTTGCATTGAGGTTATAGGATTAATCGAATATAAACTTTTCTAATTAATGTTTAATTAATTAAAACTAGTTTTAGTAAAGTTCTAACGAAATTGCTCGGCAGCACGCTCCACCTATAATTTTGGACTATCGCACCTGTTTAGAATAACACAATTTATTATAATAGTTTATCAAATCAGTTACACACGCCCATTTCATCGGGCAATGCAATCAATTAGACCAGGGCGCCATCCTTCCTTTCCAAAACCCAGTAATATCAGACCGCCATCGCAGATTCCATTAGTTTTTCACAAACGCAATTATGTTCAATGAGTAGTGCCAATCATTATTTACATCATATTAATTATAAGACTAGCCAGTATAGGCTAATATACCGGGAAACCAAATGAAAGGCTTTAATAACAAATGAAAGCTTTAATACATATATAATCGAATAAAACTTATATCAGTAAGTTAATTTCAATTACTTTCATTTCTTCATTCTTGCTTAAAGCTAATACGTCACATTTTTTATACCTTTGTTAAATTTTATACTAGCCAATAAGAACAAATGCTTCAATTAATTATAATTTAATGAATACATCTACTAAGTAACTCGACTCGCCCTTATGTATATAGATATAAATATATATCAATTCTTATAACTAGTTTATCTAAATGTTCGCAATTATTCAAAATAGTTGTTGTTCAGCAAAATAGGTCATTCTCACCCTAGCTCATATATGATGTATGAATCAATTCATTCAAATTTTCAATTTAATTAGTTTAGAATTTATACCAAAAATAGGAAATTGGTCTTAGAATGTACCAATTGAAATTTGAGCGACGATTCCACGATCCTCGCGAAGAGAGGAACATTCTGTCCCTGGCACCTTGCCGGAGACTCGCCGGATCGTCGCCGTCTACGGTGGCCGGAAAAGTTGGGGCCACCCAGAATTGACCCTTCTTCACGTCACCCCACTCAAATTTCATCGAGGAGTCCGTTTTTGATGTCGGTTGTGCACATAAAATTTCATCGAGGAGTGTTCCGTTTTTTGAATGTCGGTTTGTGCGAGTGTGTGGGCCCCCATTTGGGCTTGAAGTTAGGTGCCGCGGACACGTCGCATGGTGCCGCGCATTAACATGGTTGGTTTTTTCGCTATTTGCACGCTTTGTAGCCGGAATTAAATGGAGGATGAAACACTCACTAAGGTGGAGGTTGACGTCGATTCGACGCCTTGCCTTGTTGTGTGATAGCAAGTCGCGAAATTGCTCGAGTCCTGCCAGAGGATCGAAGAAGGAGAAACTGTTCGAATGGAGACAAGTCCCTGCTTCGCGTCGACTAGGAGACTCTGACCAGTGATGGAGTGTGGAAGGAGGTCGGAAAATGGACCAGGAGCTCTAGCGGAGACGATCGCCATCTCGCTCTCGTCGAGCGGTGGCCGGAAACGGAGGGCGAGGGTGGAGGGAGGCTGTCGCGCGCCTGAAGAAGGAGAAGAGAAAGAAAAGGAAAAAAAAAGAGAAAAAAAAGTAAGGCGGTTTCTAGCAAACTCTAGGCCATTTCGGTTCGATTCAAACCGGTTTGGTCCGATTTAGTGGTTTGGTCTCATTTCATTTGATTTTCAAGTTTTTCCCTTGGTTTTCGGATTATTTGGGTGGTTCTCGACAAAGAAATTCACTCTCTCTCTCCGTCTTTATGTGACTGTTTTTCCGCTGCCCTGTTTCTCTATCGCTATGTTGGGTGAGTTACTTCACAAATTTAACTGATCATTTCAGGGCTAGACTTCAATTTCATTTTAAAACCCGTTTAGTTCAGGTTTCGTAAATATTTTCTCCATTTATTCAAATAACTTATAAAATTATTTATAGTAACAAATATTTTGATTCTTATGGGTTACATGATTATATAATATATATTCATATAGGTTAATTACGGGTTTCGTATTAATTTCTCAAAACTTTTAACCGTTTAAACGAATTTCAAAATTTTCTTTTCGGACATTTTATTGGGCTTGGGCCCAACTCGTAAAATTTGGGCTCGAATTGAATTGTTTGGTATATAATATAGCCCATTAGGATTGAAAGAATCGGATTTTTTTGATTTATGTAAAATTCGACAAATTTTCGAAAATAAAAAATTCGGGGTATTTTTCAACTGTCCAATTTCCAATCTTTAATGAATATGATCAGCATTCATTTCGCGTCATTGTTTGGTATATATATAGCCCATTAGTTGAAAATCGAGATTTTTGATTTATTAAAAATTCGAAAGTTTTCGAAAATAAAAATTCGGGGTATTTCAACTGTCCAATTTCAATCTTTAATGAATATGGATCAGCATTCATTTCGGTCAATTTAACTAATCCGGTCAAATCCGCCAATTTGATTTAATGAATCAATATTACATTAAAAGTTTGGTTTAAAAAATCAAAAATTCGGCCATTAGTTAAAAGTTCGATTAAATATTAATGAAATCAAATTAATCGACCCCTAAAACTATGTCATTTTGATTAAGTAGATAATAAAATTAAAAATTAAAAATATTTCAGTTTTTATTTTAATAAAATAATGATTAATAATTTCGGTTAATTTTTATTTTGATCGAAGTCGACTAATCATAAATTTCGGTTAAATTCGATTAGTTAATTGTATTAGTTAATTTATTTAAAAAAAAAAAAAAAAAAACTCTATTGAATTAAATATAAACACTTATAAGTTATAAGAAAATATAAATTGAATTAAAATGAAACTATTGAGTAAATTACTTACAAAACTCATTGTTTTTTGTAAAGGAAACAACTTCAATGAATGGCATAGATTTAACTCATTTTCTATAGAGATAATACCTCTATTTTTGTTCTAACAATAACAACAAATGGAAACTATTTAGAATTTAATTTAATTAATCATAATGCTTTAGAATTATGTATAAATAATATATACTAATTAGTCCGAATTTACACATGCAATTGTATAAAAGCAGGCAAAGACTTCATACCTATGGCTCAAATTTCAAACTCTCATTAAGGGAGAAATGATTTTTTTCATCTTATTTCATCCTTCATGGGTTTGATAAGAATAAATTTTAACATGTATATTTCCAGTTTTTATTAGGTAATAGATAAATCAAATTTAACATTGTATATTTAATATGTCATATCAATTTATCATAATACATTATTAAAAAGAAGGAAACAAAAATAAATTATTACCTTTAAAATAAAACATAAAAAATATCATTAGGAAAAACACATCACATGCATCCTATAAATATTTTCTTGGAAGTACATAAAAGTAAGAGTTTGTGGGGTTAATTATAAATTCAATATCCGAACTTTTTAAAATTTTCTATTTTAGTGTCTAAACGGAAAATATTTGCGATCAAGTATCTTGACCATCAGAAATTAATCAATCAAGTGTCTCCTACTTATGACCGCCGGATTTCCAAATAGAACGATTTGGACCCATTCATTCAATTAAAAATGCTGACATGGCACAAACTCTTGTAGGGGCTGGACGAGAATAGAAGCACAAACATACGTCTCCTTTCTCAATCTCTCTCATCTCTCAAATCCTAAAGGCAACTAATCCTTTCATGCTTATCTCTCACCTATTTTGGTAAGCTTGATTAAATCACAATCCCAAAAAAGTCAATTTCATAACTCAGAAAAACATATGTTACTTAACAAGACTCAGAACAAGAAGTACATGATTCATTGAAAATCTAAAGAAATTCAAGGCAAAATAAATCTATCAAGGCTCCAAAAAGCAAGAGAGAATAAAAGGGTAATAAGAAGAGAGTTGAATACAAAACCATACAACAGCTCACCATCCACTATAAAAATAAAAGAGCCAACAAAATATTTTCAAAAACTTCAAATCTTGAAAAATGGGTTATTGTCTTCTATTATATCTCATCCTAGAAGCAAAATCAAAATAGAAAATCAAAGATTATGAGTCCTATCAACAATACCTCCATTGCAATTTGCTCAACAAAATTTTGAGTAACAACATTGTCTATGCAATGCCGCCTGTGAAATTTGAGAGGTGAGAGAGATTGAGGAAGAATGATAAGAATACGAATATGTTGGCTTGTGGCTTTAAGAAAGTCACGTGATTCTCACATGTTTCTATTTCTTGTTAGTCTTACAACTGAATTGACGCCTTGTCAATAGTTTTTAAATTATATGGGTAAGCCCAAATCATTCTATTTGAAATTCAACTGTCCAAATGGGCAAGAGATACTTGATTGATTAATTTCTGATAGTTCAGACACTTCACTACAAAAGTTTTCAGTTCATATACCGAAATAGAAAATTTTAAGAAGCTCGGACACCAAATTGATAATTAACTCATTTATGGTGTCAAAAAATTTAGTAGTCATATTGTCTGTAGTTTAGTTGCATGAAACATGTTGAGAGCTTAATAGTGAAAATACATAAATCCATATATTAAGTTCATATTAAAAAAAATAAGTGCGCTTTATCACTTAAATAATTACTTTTATTGAATTATGTTTATTAACTTCTTTTTTTTTTTTGGGATAAAAGGAGTAATATTATACCAAATTGAAAGAATTTAATAAAGCCAAAAGAAAAATGGAGGAAAACATCTCCTCAATCCAAATTTTTTTCATAACAGAAATATTAACTCTTATTTTATCAGTAAATTATTAATTATTTGAAGTTTTAAAAATCAGATGTTTATGGTTTTGTAATCTACACTAAATTGATGCTTTTTTTATCATTATCTAAATTTTATTTAATACATTTATAATTCATTTAAATACCGACGATTTAATATTATGTTTTTTTGTTTTTTTGAATATAAAGGAAGAGAGAGCTAAAAATATAAAAGAACAATGATCGACGAATATTCACCAATCCTAGGCCAAGCAATCCCATCAAAATCCTGATTCAAAAACATTATACTCTCATGAGGTGGATGGAGCAAAAAATGGTAACCTAAGCAGCTTCTACCCCCGAATTTAATATTGTGCTTAATTTTTATAGTTTTATATTTAAAACTCACATTCTAATTCGCAACGTATTCTAAATTCAAATTCACAAATTTTATATAACTTATTTATAATTCATGAATTTAAAATTTAAAAGAGTCTTGATTAAAATTATAAATTAATAATTTAGTAGAGTTAATAGTATCTTTTATTAAAAGCCTGCTCGATTTAAGTGTTCGTGATGATTGATGGTAGGAGCGTCCATGATTCAAGTCGATTATGTTTAGGGTTGTACATGATTCCTGAGAAATTTGAATTGAATGGGAATATCGTATTGGAACTAAAAAAGAATCTAAAAAAGAATCGAGACAGTAGGAGTTAAATTGCATCAAACCATATTTATCAGTAAATATCACACTTAAATACTTTATGATCAATGATCCTTCTGTCTGCTATAATAGCGATAAATATGCATTTTACTATCTTGTTCCAAATTAAATGCTCATTTAAGATTTTGATAGTACATTAATTATTTTTTCTCATATTTAATCATTTTTATTAGGTTTTTTTAATAACAACAAATAGACATTTTAATTTATTTCACTTTAAGTGCTCATTTAGGATTTTAATAGTGAATTAATTTTTTTTTCAATTTAACCCATATTTATTAAGTATTTTGTAGCAAAATTAAATGGGTAGTTTTTAATTTTAAGAAGAACAATTTAAACATTTTACCATATATTTTTAGAAAATCAATATATACAAATCATTTTTTTAATCATTGTGAAAATATCAAATGTCGCTATTAAAGTAAAATTAAAGGAGTAACATTCAAATTTATCAGTGTACTTAGAACAACTTTGAAAATAGTTACATAAATTATTATTATTTTTTTTTTGCTTCATTTAAAAATTAAAATTTCTTTACTTTGTGGTTTATTAATACAAGAACATATCAAGAAGAAACGAAGAAAAATCGTAACATAACTATGTTTTTTTCAAACCATGTGAAAGTTAAATCAAGACTATATATCGAACGAATGGAGTAACAATGCAAGGTTCTAATTTAATTTTTAAATTTCATTTGAAATTAATTTGATTGATTAACTTTATAAATTTAATTAAATAACTCATTGATTTAATTATTAGTAGTTTATAATTGTACAATTTATAACTCTTGTAAAAGCTAAAATATTTATAATATGAAATTTTATTTCAACCAAAATTTATATATAAAATTAAATATTTAAAATATAAAATTACTATTGGTAGAAAATTTAACTTGAATATCAAGTCTAATTCCAGTATTAACATCATATATTGAATATATATATATATATAAAGTTCAAGAGGTAATGCCAATTTAAGCTAAGACAAAATGTTGTAATTAAATATAATAAAGAAAGAATGACATGCAATTTGAAAACACAAAATAATTGGAGTATTTTTTAATTTTTAAGCAGTAGAATATAATTTTTTTTTCTTTGAGAAATCTTATTTAGAATTTGATAATTATGTCTTATTAAATAATAAACGTATCATATAACAAAGCATAAATTTAATCTTATTCACTGCAAAACCGCACCACCGCTTCTATGGCAGTCCTGAAACTCAGCACGGCAGCTTGTTTTGGCGGCAAACCCTATAAATGGGCCCGCACAATCACTAACACCACCACCACCTCTTCCTCCACCACCACCTCTACCTCCGCCTCCGCATCTCCCTTTATTACTCCTCACGCTTCTTTGTTCCCGCTATCTTTGGCCCTAAAAAGCAATTGGCGCAGGATAACGCCTTGCGCACACCCTGCCTATTATAACAGTAACAATAACAACCTCTTCTTAGGGTTTGCTTTTGGTGGCCAAAAGCGTTTCTCTTTTTCTCGCAATTCTAGTTCCTCCTCCTCCTCGTCCAACGCTCAAAAACAGGGAGAGTTCTCTGGATCCGATTCTTCGTCATCCGGGTCGGGTCTTGTGGCTGACATGGGGTCCGATGACAAGGTTGAAGATGTTGATTGGTACCAAAATCACCATTTAAACGGGCCAAATAAGCAGCCGCCGCCGTCGTCGCAAAATCATCATAAACAAGAAGATTCCCGCTCTAAATTGCTAACGCTGCCTACAATTTTAACACTTGGCCGTGTCGCTGCTGTGCCGCTTCTCGTTAGTAGTACGTTCCATATTTTTAGGTTCTTGTTTGCTTAATGTTTATTTTTTTGGATCTCTAATGACAATTTGGTGAATTTATTTTTATCTTTGTATTTTGATCTTGGCGTTTGAATGTTGTATTCTTTGTTTTGTTTGTCCAAGATATTCACTTCAGCAGGAAAAATTGTACATCGCCTGCTTGACAATGTTGCAAATTATTTATTTTTTTAACCGTCTTCAAATGAACTCATTATTTGAAATTAAATTATATTTGTTTGCTAGATTTATCCTCTTTGATGAGGACTTAGGTTGATTGTATAGATAGGAAACCCTTAAGTTTCAAATATTTCTTTTGGGGTTTATACAAGTATGACATACTATTTGGCTAGCTAAATCCCTTTTAACCATCATTTGTTTTATTTTAGAAATGAAATGGGAACTGGGTTCGGATTCTGTCTTAAATTGGTTTGAAAAATCATGTTTTAAAATATAACAGAACCTCATTGCTGTGTTTGATACTCAAGGTTTATTTTAATTTTGGTGGATATTAAATATAGATATTAGTATACTTTTCAAGATTATCTCTAGGGCTCCATTTTGCCTAAAATTGAAAAATTGGAAATGGAAATCCTGGAATGAGAAGTATAGAGTGACTTCCATTTCCATTGCATTTGCAGGATGAACCAAACAGGCCCCATGGAATCTTGAATTCTGATTTTGGGAAATTCTCTGCATATTCATAAGACACACGAGCTTATTTCTTAGATACACTGGCATTTGAGGATAGTAACACTCAAATTTTGTTTTCTAGCTTTTTATCTGGATAGTTGGTGGGGGAGAACAGCTACAACAAGTATTTTCATTGCTGCAGCAGTTACTGATTGGCTTGATGGGTACCTTGCCCGTAAGGTTGGACCTTTTTTTTTTAAAGTAGAAAAAGAGAAATCCAGTTGAGGTTATCCCTCTGCATTTTTCAGTTAGATCTATCATTCATAAATAAATAATTGATGTGGATGCTTAACTGTGTTTCAGATGAGGTTAGGCTCTGCCTTTGGAGCATTTTTGGATCCAGTTGCTGATAAAGTATGTGTTTCTTCTTGAACAAGATTATCAGTTTTTGGTTAAGCCTAATTGAATTGACTTCTGTGTATGGTTTATTTCAACTTATAGAATGATTGAAGAGTTCAATTTAATTCTCATGCTGGCTAAATGCAGCTTATGGTTGCTGCTACCTTGGTATTATTGTGTACTAGACCTCCGGAAGTTGCAATATTTGGACAAGTTCCTTGGCTACTGACTGTACCTTCTATTCTCATAATTGGTCGGGAGGTAATATTGTTATCTGAATTGTTCTGTTATTAATGTGGTATTATGAGGTTCCATTTAGGTGGCTTGCCCTTTGGAGTTGAATTATATTTTTTTGCTTGATCTCTTCAGGATTTGGTTTTATGAGCTTTTTAATCGGTAATGTCATTGTAATGAGTTCCATTGAATTGATCCTTTTCAACTATCGCGTGGCCTTGCATTTTTGAAAGATATATTCTGTTCTTTTTTTTTGTTTTCTTATGTTTATTCTCCCCTTGTTTTTCTCGCTCTTCTACATGCCCATGAATCCTGGATTCAATCTTTTACTGGTTTCATTAGTTTGCTTCTACCCTTTAAATTATCTCAGTTATTTTAGTTTGATATTTTGGGATCATATTATTTGATCTTACTGGTTTCCACTTTATTTGTAGATAACCATGTCTGCAGTCAGGGAATGGGCTGCTTCACAGAATAGTAAACTTTTAGAGGTTTGTTTTCTATTGCTTGTGCCGTTACCTTCTCACCCTTATCTTTCTAAAATTGTCAATATTTTTCCTCCTATAGCAAATATATCAATGTTAGCTGCAATTTACATTTTAAGAACAATGCGTTCTTAGGCTGTTGCTGTAAATAACTTGGGGAAGTGGAAAACTGCTACACAGATGACTGCCCTAACCATCCTCTTGGCTACCAGAGACAGCAGGTCCCTACTCACTTTCTTCCCATATTGTTCTTCCTGCTATTTTTGTGTAGTCTCTTTGACTTAGAGATGATGCATCAAAGAAGACTCCTTGTGGACCATTCTGTGAAATATCTGATCACTTTTTTGTGTCTGTCCTTTGTCGCAGTCTTGGAGGACCAGGAATCTCTGTAGCTAGTGTTGTTTTGCTTTATATTTCAGCAGGTCTTTCTGTATGGTCTTTAGCCATGTATATGAGTAAGATATGGAGAGTGTTGCTGAAGTAATTTCTTTGCCCTGCTGCGTGTATTTGCTTCTTGTTAATGATGTGGTTGGCCGTCATAATGCTTCAGATACTTCCTTTTTTGATGACTGCCCTCAAAATTTGAGTCGCCCTTCAAACCGGTGGTGAATTAAGGGGAGGTTCTTTTATTGGGAAACTAAACATATTAGGTTACTAATTTTTTATTAGAATTTGCTTTGGTTGAGATGATACTACCATGATACTACCATTTTAAGGGTTTCTCTGAGTTTTTTGAACCGTAAAATTTCCCACACTGACTTGTCTGGAGAAATATTAGTATATATGTCCTACAAGGTCTCCCTGTTCAATTTTTTTACTAAGCACCAACGTTGGTATTAAAGGCAGATTTAGGGCTTCCTGTATGGTGGGCGCAATGGGTGGACGCGGCAAACATATTCTGCAGTATTCTAGTTGCTGGAATTGAAGAGTTTTTTTTTTTTCAGTCTATAATATGTAATCTAAATGGAGGATATTTAAGAAAATCTTAATGGGATGTTTTTTGGGAGCATTTGGGCTTTTTGCTGATACAGTTAGATACAATTTTATGATATCATTGCAGCCATTGATGGCTCATTTTGTCATGTTGACAGCTTCCAAAATTGATTCATTTTAATGATTGCAATTTTCAAAACTGTACAGAATTTATAGGTTATTACCATCCCCCCCCTCTCTTCTTAAATCTCCGAATTTTTGAGGGTTTGGTTTGAAACCCTAACCTTCTATATCATTAGAGATGATAATTGAACTGCTAGGTTAATGCTTTATTAAATATTGTTATGCATGAGACATGTTACCGTTTATGAAATGCACATAGTGTGTTTGGCTTCTGGACAAATTAGAAGAGAATAAATCGGAAGTGAAAGAGAATAGTGATTCTATGTATTTACTCTCTTATCATCCTTAAAATGAATTTATTTTTTTATATGCTGATTAAAGTCTATAATTGAGAGATTTTCTCTTATTTTTTTGGTGAAAAAGAATTAAATTCTTCTACCTTATTTTCCTCCTCTTTCTCCTTGTTAATAGAAATTTAGTTTAATAAAACAAAAAATAAAAAAGGGAAGTCAAGCTAACGAATTTCTAAATGGATTCACTCTGTCCTTTTCACTGCCTTTGTTCACCAAGGGGTGAAATTAGAAATCAAAATGTGCATATTGTATTGGCTAGTAGCTACTAGGGCATCAAATATGTAAAATAGACATGCAAGCTGGTTATAAGTGCATAGTTATTTAAAATATTCAAATTTATTTATGTTTGTAGCTTAGTTGGCAACGCAGATTGACGTGTGGAAAAAACTTTTAAGATTCAACCCCTACACCAAAAGCACTTGTAAAGAGGAACGAAGAGCTTTAATTATAATTAAGCTCCAAACCGCTCCAAATCGGATCAGACGGTCTCTAATAATAGAATTCGGATACCGTAGTTTAAAACAAAAATTAAAATTTGCATGATCGATTTGCCTGCCATCGGTCTATCAAAACTTAGTTAATATGATTGATTTCCTCCTCACGGGCGTGGATCAAGATAGTTATTTTGTTTTTTGATCCATGTAAAAAGGCGAAGGTTACCAAAACTGTATCCCTTCCTTTTCAAGTTTTTATTTCTTATTATTGATGTTCTCTACTATATTTTCTAAATGCCCAAAAAAAAAAAAAAAAAAAAAAAAAAAAACAAAAAGAATAAAAAAAGAAAAAGAGATGGGTTTCAAATTTCATGTCTTGCTTACTGATTCTTATTTTGCACGTGTCCTGCATACTCTGATTTTCTGCTCCTGACTTGTTTAAACGAAGCCAAAATTGTAGCGATTGAAACAATTAAGATGACATTAAGGAAAAGGTGGTAAGCTAAACCAAGTCGGGGTTCGAACAGTACTTGAACTGGACCAAAAACCAGGAATAGTTTCCCAGTCCCAGGAACGGAACGACCACCACCCCAGGGTTTCGAATAAAAAAAAAAAAAAAAAAAAAAAAAAAGAGATGTTCAAATTTCATGTCTTGCTTACTGATTCTATTTTGCACGTGTCTGCATACTCTGATTTTCTGCTCCTGACTTGTTTAAAGGAAGCCAAAAATGTGCGATGAAACAATCTAAGATGACATTAAGGAAAGGGTGGTAAGCCTAACCAAGGTCGGGTTCTGAACCAGTAACTGAACTGGATTGGATGGAACACCAGAAACAGGAAGTTCCAGTTCCCCAGGAAACCGGAAACAGGACCACACCCCAGGTTCGAATCAGGGGTTTGGTTTTTAGAACCCGGTCCGAAACCAAAGAAGAATCACCTTCAAAATTGGCTGGAACCGGTTAGAAAACCATCTAAAAGAACCAGTGGGTGGTCCCATTTCCTGTTCGGTTTGGAACAATGGCCAGGCCTAACTAGGTGGTTTGAAGTGGCCAGTTGGCAAGACAAATCTGCTGTAAGAAGCTGCTGCTCAAGGAAAATAAGAACAGGATGTTTAGTGTGGTTGTTCTATGTGGTGCATTTTTGTCATGATAGAAATGTGTCTATAACCAGCCAACCGTATTGATGACATAGAGTTGCTGATTTAGTGCCTAACTACACCAGTTATTTTACTTCACACTTCGGTGACTTAAGACTTCAACACAAGTCTTTCAGAATAGAACCAATTAGAGCTATTATATGAAAAATTGTCTTTAGTTGTCAGATTTCATGGCTGGAGAGACAAAACAACAGAATTCACAGTTCAGACTTCAGAGTTTAGCCTGCAGAAGACATAAAACAAATAAGGAAATTAGTTGCTCCTGTCATTTCCTAGATTCTGTAAAGTTTTGGGAAATTCCAACTTCTAGTTAACAGAAACAGAAAATACCAAAAAACGTTTCCTGTAGGATTCAACATGCTCCTTTGGATCTCGCCGGGTCTGGTTGTAAGCCTCATTCTTGTTCATCTCCTGCAAATCAACAATATTCTAATAAGCAAGTAAATAATCAATGTATAGAAAAGGTATCCACTTACCATGTTTTTTATATTGAGACAATAAAATAAGTTTGCATCAGGAAAAAACAGCTTCCTTGTGCAGTCATTCAGAACCAAAATACCTCAAAGAAAATTGGATACTAAACAGGAGAGTGGAGAGGGGAAAATGAAAAGATTCGTTCAACTGCTTCCAACATGTGCAGCAGAGACTTAAATAGATGAATCGGAGCCATCCAAAATTATACCTTTCAAAAAACAATTCCTTTTGGGTTTATTATAGGAGCTAAACAACACGTAGCTCCTTTACCATAAACCCTCAATCCTATCTGAATGGGATAGCAACTCAAGACCTTTTGACGGAAATCCCAAGACTTATTGTTGCGGGACATCCAAAAAGAAGATTTTTATCCACACAGGAAAGTTCTGATTCAATTGAAAAAGCAATTGGAGGGCAATTCAACATTCGAGTATCCAATGCATTATTCAGTTTCCTTGTGTAAAAATATTTGACTCAATATACTAACAACAATATAATCAATTGGTTATTCATTATCTGATCCACTATATTGCAGCCAGGAAACAGTCATGGCATCATTGAGACAATGTAAAACAAGGTCTCGACAAAGATCAAGTTCAGTTTTCTTTTTCCTTACTTTTAAGATGTGTACTAAAGACCTTTTCTTTGATATAAATGAACTTCATGTTTTCATGTTTCGAATGAATAAAAATGTTCACTTCAATCAAATAAATTCGATTTTATGGAATTCAACATAACTAAATCAAATTCAATAATTTATATACCAGGTAACAGGTTAGTGCTTGCACGTGTTCAAAAGAATAGAACTTCTCAAATATGTAACTGAGCATTGGAATGATGATGATAATGCTCTAAGATTAAAACAATAACAATTTAGTACACAACTTAAAAAAAACACCCAAAAGCAATTGACACAACTTACAAAACCATCCAAAAACGATACTTAATTGTTCTTCATTCATGAGAAATATAATTATTAATACAAAGAAAAATCAAAATTCACTATGGGTATTAATACTACTAAAATAAAAGTAATTGGTCGATCAAATATCAGAACTCTAAAGAAATCACTATTTAAGTCCATGACCACGTATGTTGATAAATAAAACTGCTATATATTTGCTGAACAGATAGAATGATTGAAAGAATCATGACTATATTTAATAATAGAAAGGTTAGAGAAGCCCACATGCAACGATTTTTTTTTTCTGCCGGAAAAGTAGTGTACAACTCCTATTAAAATAGGCACTAGGGATGGGTATATATGTCTGTTTCTTCAAATTAATATCAATTTGTTTTTTAAGTTACAACATTTTAACTTAGAACAATAAAAACCAAAAAAGGTAAAAAAGACACCCTAATCGTTCTCTTAGTTTAAGACACTTTAGTTCAGCTATGTGTTCTGTGACAGAATAGAAATCCAAGAAGCTAAAAAACAGAAATCACAGAAGCTGTATGTCAAATTTCTAACATGAAAACAAACAAGAAGATAACAACAGAAAGTGAACATAATTGAGCCATGGTGATAAATTCTAGGTCCATAAGTATGATGTAAATATATATTGTAAAGTTAATAATCAATTACATTTCTTGACTTACTCCACTAAATAAATTTTGCTCTACTTAATCGATTATCTCAAATCATATGGTCTGAATTTGTTTGATGTGATAAAAAATAGAAAGTAACAAAAATTTCACTCCCTGATGCATATGCACTCAAGATTTCGTTGGAACTTATCATTGGATTAGAATGTTTACAAACTGTAGCTACCAAAACAGACATCCTATTGAAACAGAAATGCATACATCAATTCAAGATGGAAATAGAAAAAAGACAAAGATACATTAGGTAGTTTTGTCATACCTCAATCCAAGCAGCCAGATTAGGTCTTCCTATAGTGATATCATATTTCCTTAGTTCCAACAAGGCAGGATGAAATCTTTCAATGAATGGAGCATAAGCGATATCCACCTATATAGCACATGGAGCATAAATTCTGACTTATGCCATTCCAGTGCAAGTAATAAAATAAATCCCAATAAAACAACTTTCTTGTTATCTCTCACTGCAAGAAATTATGTGATCCAATCCTTGATTTACATTAACATAAAAACTCAAGCCAGTAATCAGTGGAATGCAGATATCAATGTCACTTATATATCAGAATTTTTTAACCTTACCAGACTGAACTGGCCAAGGAAAAATGGTCCGTCGTCAAATTTTGAAAAAGATGTTTCAATGAAATCAAGTGCAGCACCTGAGGCAGATCATCGCTATCAGTCTATCAATTGCCTTTTAAAGGGGATCAAGAAATGTTAAAGGCAGTGGACACTAAACCCACCAGCTTCATTTCCATCTTCTTTGAAAAAGGAAACTAGAGCTTTGTAGAATGAGCCAGTGTAGGCAAACAACTCTTCTGCTAACTCTCTCTTTGCAGGATCCTGTGAATCATAACTTTAATTATTTATTTAAATGATAAGTGAAAGCAAGAAATAGAGGATGCTATGAATCTTACATCAGGGAAAAGCGATGGCCCATCAAAGTTGCGGTCAATATATTTAATCAAATCAAGAGACTCTCCTTTGACTTCATTATCGTGTTCCAATGAAGGTACCTGCTTAGTTAAGTACCTTGCATAAACGATCAAGAAAGAAGAAAGCAAAAATAATCTGGCATAACAAATTCTAGATGTTCTATAAAACCCTTAACCAATGTTTATCTTACCTTTCATCTCTATATACAGTCCCTCTACAATATTTGATTAGTTCAGAAGTTCTCAATCCCAGAAAGGCAAAAGGCACCTATTTTACTAAAATGTCATTTTTTAGCATCGATAGAAAAATGAGTAGTTTTGAGGAAAACAGGAAACCTAGAAGCTGTAAGCAATTATACAGACATGCATTTGGATATTCATGGAACAAAATCATACAATTGACTTTTCACCAAAAATCTGAAAGTTGAGATATAAATAAACATGAATAGTCATTGTTATTGCACATAATTCTTATGTTTTGCTTTTCTACATTCGAGGACCAACTCGTGCATTGCTGCATTATAAATAGAAATCAGAAGACAATCTAAAGCAAATTGCATTCACATAACCCCACCTTATTAGGAGGATAAACTTTCTCCTTGTACCAGGCAGGCCTGTCTTGCAAATCAATAGGAACCAATTTTATCTTGTCCTGCAATCCCTGCTTTCCCAGTTTGGTTTACCATCAACATAAAATAAAATCAAAAGAACACGCCAAAAGAAAGAAATTAACTTTGAAAATTTGCTGGGTCTTAGATTAGGTACTCTTTACAACAAGAATCTCTACTCAGCCATTTGGCTACAACTGAGGCATTAAATTTTCTTGGATTCTAATTCCTAAGAGATTTCTTTTCTTTTCTTCGATAAATTTGGCCCTGATTGTTGATTTAACATCCAACCTCACATACCGAAGATGACTTCAGTACCACTCAGCCAGAACTCATTGGTTCATAGGGAAAATTTTATCAAAGACCACCCAATACTTAGAGAAGAAACTCATACAAGTATATACACAATAAATAATTACCTTTTACTAATACCCATTAAAATAAATTAATACCAATTGGTGGAGGAAAGTTTAAGAAACAACCTTACAGTTGCGAGTAATCCACACACGCTGTGCATATGGGCACGTGTAAGATATGTACAACCTTAAACATACAAGAAGGGTAAGATAATTTAGTCTCTGTTCTCTCATAGGCGCCAAAAGTCGAACAATTAGAGTGAATAAGTAACTTCAATTAATCTCATAATACAATTAACTACAGATACTATTGCATAGTTGATAAATTTGCAAGCAAGTGAAGCAAAACTAGACTGCACCTTGTTGTTCCATCAAAGATTGGAGGTGGGTCTGAAGTAGAAGTTACAGCTGGCGGAAGGATCTCTTTCACGCTTCTGTAGAAAAAGAGTGTTTCAAATTAATTTTCTTTGGGAAAGATTATCTGCAATAAATGTTTCTGTTTGTTTTCATGTTTTCTTTATTTTCTGAGAAACCAAACAAACTAATTAGCAACTTTCTTACCCAGTAGCCATAGATGAAGATATGGTTGTAGCAGCTCTTGGGTTCCTTAGCGAGTTAAAAGAAGTAACTAGTGGTTGCAATGGAAGTGAAAAAGAGTATAATTTGATGGTATTTTTAGCATTTGGGAATGTTGCACTTCTCTTGGAGATTGAAGAGGTAAGTAGTGGTGACCAACCATTGCAGTATGTAACCGTCAGTGAAGCCATTTTGGTTGTCTTCTCAAAATTTTACTTGGTGGTTGGTTAACAACGGTCCTCGTTTTTTTATATGACTAGCAATTTTTATTTTCTGCTCTTTTTCCTTTTTTTTTTTTTTTTATTTTTTATTTTTTTATTTTTAATTTTTCAAGAAAAATATGTGATTTTTTGTCCTAAAAAAATAAACACACATTGTCATAAATAATATAAAACTAAGGCTCCGTTTGTTTCCATAAAATAACTTGCTGAAAAATAGTTTCATGGAAAACATTTTCCTTAAAAAATATGTTCTAAATGAGTTGTTTTCCGTTGTTTGGTTGTAATATTAAAAATTAGTTAAAAATATTAAATTCTTTATCTCATAAGACCATAAAAAATATTATTAATAATTATTTAAAAATTAGTTAAAAATATTAAATCTTTTATCTCATAGACCATAAAAAAATATTTATTATAATATGTAATTTAATTAATAATATAAATTTTATAATTTAAAAACTTTATTGTTAAATATGAAAAGAATGTAAAAAAAATATATAAATTATGAAAATCGCCATTGTCCGGTGGCTGGTGGTGGTGATCGGTGGTAAATGGTGACTGATGATAGTGATTATGATGATTAATAAATTAAAAATATGAATTTATAAGGTTTGCCAATATCCAGAAAATGTTTGACTCTCTAGAAAAAGGGAAATTGTTTTCTTTAAAAAATGACTTAATTTTCCTTTGACAAGGAAAATATTTTCCATTGACTTATTTTCTTGAGCGCCCCAAACAATGGAAAATTATGAAAAATATTTTCCTGCAAGTTATTTTACAAAAATAAACGGAGCTTAAAGAGAAGAAAGAGAAGGAATAGAGAGCAAAATATGAGAGAAATTTGAGAGTGTTTTTATTACTGATGAGAAGCCACATATATATAGTTACATAAATGGAACCTAATAGAATCCTATACAAATTAGGAAGATAGGATTCATAATAATTAAGAATATAGACTTCTAGCCCGTATAAGACATCTACTAATTTCATAATGCTCCCTTGGATGTCCATTCTTTAAAAAATATGCATCGTTAAAATCTTACTAAGAAAAAACCCTATAGGAAAAAAAAATCTTATTCTTTTCTTCAATACGTGTTGAAATATTACATCATTAAAAACCTTTACTAGGAAAATCCAATGGGAAAAAGAATATTGGTTAAAGGGAAAAAGAGTATAATGTGTATTTACTCCCCTCATTAAGATAAATCTTGAAATCTTTAAGTTTGTACGGTCCAATTTTGTGCGGTCCAATTTTATGCATCGAATCTTCAAAACTTGTGATAGAAAACTTATAGTAGAAGTAGAAAGTATGTTGATGAATAAATCAATAATATTGTCATTTGAGTGGTTGAACTTCAAGATTATCATTCTTTTGTAGATCATGAGCGAAGAAGAATTTTTGTAAAATATGATATTCTTGTTTTCTTATATATATCACTCATTCAAGGGAGATGAGTGTACGAAATATTATCTCCATGTAATATTGTAGAAATTTTTTCTTTAGAGAAGTAGACTGCACGTACTATGAACAAACACACTCTTGTCATTTTTTATGAGTGCTAAAATATCTGCATGGCTAAAAGAAGTAGTAGCAATACTTCATCCCTTGAATGCCATAAAATAATTGTACCTCCACATATGTAAATGAATAGCTTGATTATGATCTAACATAATATTGATTACACAAGTAACGTGGATTTTCATTAGCCGAGCAAAACTGATTTTGACATGTTAGTTATAATATAATTCATATATATCGTACCATGGAGATATCAAAATATATGTTTACCTCCATTTAATTGCTTCATATCCAGGAAGAACTATATATTGCTAATAAAATTTATAAAAATCAAGTCAAATATGAGTAGCAAGATACATTAGCACCTTTATTGCACTAAGATATGGTACTTCAGGACTAAGAGTTCTTCATAATTTTCTCAAAGTGAAAAATGATCATCTTCTCATCAAGTGACCTCACTATTATCCATATAAAATTATTTGAATAACTTAGTCATATACGTGGATTCATAGACAAAATTTCTTTTATGAAATACTCGATTTTCGCTGAGACAAAAACTTTATATTTCCAATGTCTATCATCTCAAACTTTTTCCTTAAGGAACTTATAATCTTTCAGGAGTTCCAATAATGTTCATAAATCACATAATGACAAATTTATATTCAAATATCTCTATAAAAATTCATGAACATATAATAATATTATTGAAATATCCTTTCAACAGATATTCACTAATCAAGAGATAATCTTACTCATGATAGTATATAAAGTAAATATCAAAAGTATACTTTCAATAATAAAATATTATAAAAATATCAAAAGTATACTTTCATAATTAAAAATATTATAAAAAGAATTATTAATCATTAAAAGTAAATTAATCATAAAATAATATAATATTTTCTTAGCCATCAAACATCATTAAGGCATAACATATTATATTGATATTTCTTTATCCATATAAAAATTTGAATATATTTTCTTGAATATATTTCTCAGGGTCTCGATTTGCTTGCTTCAAGCATATTTTCAATCTTTCGTGAATACCATTATCCACTAATCCATATAGAGCTCTATAATATTAGTTGAATAAATTTCTTGAGAATTTAACTTTTTGCTTCAAGCAATTGGAATCCTTCAAGGATTTTTATATAGATATCTATATCACGTTAGCATATAAATAGGTAGTCATTAACTCATTAGACGCATTTAAAATTTTGATAATTTACTAGACTAATAAAATATCAAATTATAATTGTATCCACCATATGAGGATATTTATCCTCATAATCAATGCCAATTCTTTGCAAAAAAACACATGCAACAAGTTTGCTTTATATCTCATGACCCTATTTCACTTTCGTAGTTTGCTTTATATCTCATGACCCTATTTCACTTTCGTAAAAATACATATTTTTCTTTTACTGGCTTGACATCTCTTCATGCGCATATTAAAATTTCAAAATTTACTTTTCAAGTAAATTTAAATGCCACATGCATCATTCAATCAATTCTATGTCTACATTCTCAATAGACTAAACTCAAGATCCTCATCATTTTTCACAATTTTAAGTGCTATATTATAACTTTATCGATATTTTTTTTATATCAGTTTCAATTTTTCTTGACATGACATAATTTATAGAAATCTTATAATTTTCATTGATTTCAGGTACCTGAGTTTCTTCGAAAAACTTATTAGTCATGTCTAGAATTTTTGCTAGAATTTACTTTCTAGAACTTGACCATCTTGAATATTTGCTCTTTTTCTTTCATTTCATTTTTTTTTATTTTTGGAACCGATATATCATGCTTTAGGCATGCCATAGATTTATTAACATAGACAGTTTGTCCTTCAAGGACTTCAATACTAATAGGAGCATTTGCAGCTAGTATGTGAGATTTAGTTATCTTATTTTGGATCAGTGAATATATCTAGCAATTAATTTATAATATTTCGCAAATAAATTATCTTTTAAAATTTTTTAAATCACACTACCTTGAATGAGGATCAAAATATGATAATGATAAATTTTTTGATCAATTATTCTTCTAGTTGCTTATTTTCTTCCTCTAATGTTGGTAGCCATAACAATTAACAAATTTAGCATTTGATAAATATCTCATAAAAAAAAATTCTAGACATTCAACCATAGACAGAAATTTATACCCGACATATTTTCCAACTTCCTTTTTGGACCCATCTTAGTGCGTTGTGATAGAGCAATTAGAATATATACCAGATATTTAAAAATTCATCAATGGGTAATTTGGTTCCTGATCCAAAATCAATTATAAAGGGGAGAACATATAGTAACTTATTGGCCTTGTCACACCCGACTCTAATCACTAGAGGAATTGTCCGCTTTGGATCAAGACAAATCGCCCATACAAGATTGCAAGACCCGCACGGTTTTGTCCCGCAGGTAAAATGGGAAACATCCCAGGAGGTCACCCATCCTGAGATTTCTGTTAAGCGAGCACGCTTAACCCTGGAGTTCTTCCAACTCTCCAGTCATTCCACCAACAGTCATTCCACCAAAAGGGCCTCTAGGATGATTAGATCTTCCCCCTTTTCGAATATGATTTCGATTCATTCATGTGCCTCCATTCACTAACCTAGTAGCTTGCACTAGAAGGCTTAGCCAGGAGCTTCGCTCTACCCGCCTTCTTGGATGCTTTGCCGGTTTGGGATAGTCCAGGCCAACAGCTTTCGCGTTGGTTCATCCTCGAACCACATTTACTGGAGGGGTCCGGCTCTGATAACCAACCTGTCCATCCGATTCTAATCACCAAGAGGAATTGTCCCGCTTTTGGGATCAAGCCAAACTCGCCCATACAAGATTGGCAAAGACCCGCACTGTTTTGTCCCGCAGTTGAAATGGGAAACATCCCAGGAGGTCACCCATCCTGAGATTTTGTTAGGAGCACGCTTACCCTGGAGTTCTGTCCAACTCTCAGCCATTCACCCAAAAGGCGCCTCTAATGATTAGCTTTCCCCCTTTTCGTTATATGATTCTCGATTCATTCATGTTGTCAGCCGCATTTCACTACCCCTAGCTAGACCTGCATTTCACTACCCTAGCTAGCCTGCCATCCTAGAAGCTAGCCAGGAGCTTCGCTCTACCCGCCCTCTTAGGATCGCTTTGCCAAGTCGGGATGTCACAGGCCTAATGCGAGTAAATACTACTATATATAATAGCATGTCCCTCTACAACAATAGGGAGTTTTGTTCTCATAATAATTGTCTTGCAATTAATTGCAATCATTTGATAAATGATTATACTAAATCATTTTGAGCATAACTAAAAGTAACAACTGGATGCCTTATAATTATAACACATGCCATAATCATTAAAGGTCGATGTGTAAATTCACCATAAATTGTCTTGATAGCATAATCTAGAAATTATATTCTTCATCAAATTATTTCCCAAATAATCTTGCAAACTTCAGGTTGCTAGTTAATAATAATTTTTGCAAACTCCAAGTTGC